CATGCTAAAGTTGATTCTGATTATCAAGCGACCAAAACACGGTAATATAGTATACGCTAATATCAAAATCCTATGAAGTTTAATAGTAATAATAATCAAAGATAGATAATGCAATGCTCATATCAATATATCCTTGACTAAAGTACAACGCTTTAACAACAATTTAACAACCCAATAGACGGTCCATGTCTTCGGCATGTATTTCGTCCCAGCTAGAATAATGCCGTAACCAAGATAATAATCCGTACTTTGTATTAATCATGTTAATTAATTAATTAACGTATACTACTAGTAATAGCTAATCTAATATATATATATATATATATATATATATATATATATATATATATATAAAGGGGAGTTTTTTCCCGAGTTTTTAGAGAGCCACGTAGGATTTAATTTTTTCAGCGCGCCACGTAGGATAATAAATTTTAGTGGTAGCCAATTAAATATGAGATTATTAATTTCTTTTAAAATTAAATAATTTAACTGACACGTAAGCAAAATTGGTAATTGAGATAATCCAGTTTAAATTAATTAAATATAAAATATTATCTTTTAATATCAGGAATTTTATCTAAACATTTAACAATTTTTATCACATAAATATAAATATATATATAAAATTATTATTTTAAACATCTAGTCTAATCTACTAAGGAGTTCTTGGTCATCAAATTATTAATTAATGAAAAGTAAGCAAGCAGCTTTTCTAATTACCAACCAGCGATGGCCTGCACGTGAGCTCTTATCTTAATCTTAATCAAGATTATGATCAATAACTGATAAGATTAGTTTAAGTTTAAGCAAAATCTAGTCAGATAATATTCTTTAGTTTGTTCAAACTTATGGGCAGGTTGGCCTGCCTATAGAATGTCAGATAACTTGTTACGGTTCTCTGCATACTCATCAGGAATATTTTCTTAATTCACAACCAGAATTCCACCCAAATCTTATACTTCGAATCATAGTCATTTACGTGGATCAATCATCTGTTAACCTACTTGTAACCCATTTTGGGTTTAGATTATGGTAATTTCAAGTGTGTCAAGTTAAATTGTTTCTTATTAGCAACAATTTTACCCGGCCCTTTTAGTACGAGTTCAATAGTCATATACTGTACGAAGTACTAATTTCTATTACTACCCGATAATGGGCTATTGGCCGGCCAGTCGGTGATGAAATGTTGTCATTTCCACAACAGTCATCTTACTCGTCTATCAGACTATCATCAATTATGAAACGGCCCGTCAATGTTAGTTCACACAAATTTTTGGAAAAGGAAGACAAAAAACACTATTACTACTTACTAGTAACTTTGTAAATAAACTTCTGAATCAAAATTAGTGCACGTAACACAGCTAGTAACAAAGCTTGTTGTACATAAAAGTGAAGAGTAAGTGGAGAAGTTTTGATCACATATTAGCCGAAAGTGGCCCACGTAAGCTTGCTCCTAAATCCTTGCATTCATAAACAATAAGATTCATATTATCTGTTCAGTATATGAAGGGTCACCATTGATTTACCATTTACAAACACCATTTTTACATGGTTTTTATTTGTAAGATTGAATTATACTAGAAGAATAATAAAAACTTTGAGAATTTAATCAATAGAATAAATAAAAAGTACATATCCATCCTTTCGTGTTAGCAGACAGCAACTAGAATCTTCCTATACACTTTATTAATAATATGAAATTGTAAACATGTAGCTCAATGTACATGAAATTTTATAACTTTATGATAAAATTAATGAAAATTAATATACAGATTATTCGATTAAGGCATGTGCATGCTTTATCTACAAGCACGAAAAGCTGTATTTACGCATTATGCAGCTTGTCAAAGAAATCCACAAATACCTAATTTTATTACAAAATTTACTTTTTTTTTTTCTTTTCTAAATTCAATTTTGATGTGCGGATTAATTATTCAAGAACAGAACATATATCGTGGAATCATGTCTTTGTTTTGAGTCTGGTCTCCAACTCAACAACCCACATTACACAATCCGTCTTTTTAACTACTTAATAAAGTCATAACCAGAGTTGTTTTACACTTTTACGTAGGATCATTAAGATCTGAAATTTGTAAATTATAAAGAGAAACTAAATCAATATGAAGTACAAATTTTACTACACATAATAGTTATGGGATCGGACGACATATGAATTTGGCATAAATATTCAGGCGTGATCCATTGAATTGAGGATAACAGTACAATTTATAAATTAAAAAAAAGCCTTATAAGTTAAGAAAGCACCCTCGTACGCTAGTGATTAGCTTAGGCAGGGGTGATAGTGAGTCTAACTAGCTCGTGATCTACTCATCTTCAGCACGAGATCCTCATTGAATTGATCAAGCATACCTAAGCTTGACTCAAGAGTTTTGTAAACAAGTTCGCAATACCCAATTGAATTGGAATTTCTATTGAGTTCATGCATGCAATGCTTATGATCAGGCTCTCAAATACGAAGTATAAGCAAAGGTTTTGGTAACAGAATGCTACTGCCTTATAGAATTTAAATCGGCAAATTGACTCTTACTGTAAATCTTAATAGAAATCGTTTTTGAACTCGAAAAGCTCACGAGGCTCATCAAGCTAAGTAACGTTTGTTTAAGCCATTTACTCAAATATGGTCGACTTACTATGAATACTATCACCTCCTACCCATACCCAACACTTCTAATGCGTTTGAAAAATCACACAAAAAGTTGCACCAACAATAATAATAATTCTAATTCAAGTAATAGTCACAAAGCGAAAAGCCAAAATCTTTCTACTATAAGTCAATTATTTCTATAATGAAGGGGCAAATAAACACAAACACAAACACACATTTCTACTAAAAATATTGTATAAATTATAGTACAACCTAAGATCTACTTTTGACCCATTGAATATATTCAACTGCTTAAAATAAACCAGCTGGGTTCATCTTCAATTCATAACCTTTTTAGTATTTTACCATTGGAAACCTTTGCTTTTCTTTTTAAGATATGGAAATCATGAAGATAATGACAAACTAACATGCATGCCAGAGATATTAGTTTAATGAGGTAAACATTAAAGAATAACTTGATATGTATAGCAAGTGGAATAACACATTTAACAGGAAGTACAATTGATTCGTCAATGACACAATTGAAATGCACCTTCATTAATCTAAAGACATTAATCTATTCAACAAGAAGTACTCTTTTTTTATTTTCTTTATCTGCTGATCCTGCCGCCTCGATCGGCAGAAAGAACTTGGAGAGCAAAAGGTTTGAAAAGGAATTATATGTTGATTCATAAAGCATATTCTTAAACAATTAGCAAGTAGATGAATAATATAGATTAGCAAGTGTTTCGTCGTTAATTTTTGACTCCCATGTTTATTTTTCTTTGAAGTGATGCAACACTATATCAAAGAAAGGAATCATATTCCTTGACACATTGAACTCGTGCAATTCGCCACAGTGATTGCTTAGTACTATAGTTAATCATATTATTACAAGGACACGATTTGACCTGAACTTTGATGTAAACCTTCAGAAATTATTGAACGTGAAAACACAGACCAAGCAGAGAAAACATTTTGAGTATATATAAGACAGTATTTTCTCTCAGAAAACTGCCTTAAACTGGCACCTTCAATTTGTTTAGCATAACCTTATTTACTTAGTTAAAAGTTGTTGCAAGGAAAAAGTTTTTGATAAAAAATTAACGATGTACTTTTTTTTTAAAGTTAATTTGTATACTTTTATTATTAATGTTGTGTTTGAGTGTCCTTCATTTTAAGATGCCATTTTTGTATACAGTGGCGGACTCAGGAATTTCCGACTGGTGAGTCACAATCGATAACCAAATATGTAATTTTTTTTTTTTACCAAAATTCCTAAGAAAAATTATTTACAAAGATCATCCAAATAGAAAATTGACAAGATTACAATACTAACTTATAATTAACAAGCTTAAAATTGACCTAAAATAATAATCACAATAATTAACAAACTAATTTATTTATTTAATTTTTTTTTTTTAAGAAACTTAATAATTTTTTTGGGCCCTGGTGAGTCATTTGACCCACCAGGCACAAAGGCAGGTCCGCCGCTGTTTGTATACATGTATAATGTGTGTATTCATTTATTGCAACATAACAACCAACCATCACTCTATCAAGCTAAGCTTAGTCTAGTGAGAAAGATTGTACCTTCCAACTTTGAGGTTGGGAGTTCAATCCCCACTAGAGACATTTTGAGGGTGGGAATCCCCACCCTTTCCCTCTCATTCTCAAAGTGTTTAACCCGCAAATAGCGGACCAAAAAAATCGTGAGGGTTGAAGTTCGATTGGGGTTATTCTCCTTACCACTTAAAAAAAAAAAAAAAAAAAAAAAAAACCTTTTTAGTGGTCAGATACTCAAATAGTCATTGGCATGGCTATGCAACCCACTTAATTGTTTTGGCGATGTACAATGCTAAATGAGAAACTCTTGACAAATGACCCATTAAAAAAATAATTGTGAAAGAAAAGAGGTGTGTACATGCTATAAGATAAGGACCGTATACTCCAAAATAATATTTAATACGATTTAAAAAAATAAAATAAAATTGAGAATCAAAGTTGACCCAATGGTTAGAGGTTTTTAGCTTACCCATATGAGAGTGATTCGATTCTCACCCGTCAAAAGGGGTTCCCAATTGCAAAGTTGCAAGGGACATCAAGAATCAAGTATAAAATATTGTAAGAGTGGTTTGATTCTCACCTCTTTTTAAAAACTTGTCCTCTTCACCTTGTGTGATCTAATATACTGAATTGACTAACTTTAACTGTATTATAGATTCATTTGAATCATACCCATTTGTATTTTTCAAATATTAAATTTTTAAAGGGTTTATTAATACACAATTATGATATAGATAGAAGTATTACTCCATATTTGTTTAAGCTAACAAGAATAAGTAATAGAGATTAAAATAAGTTGAATATAATAAGTCTCATGGTAGAGGCAGTGAGAGTCAACAATAGGCAAACTTCTTATAAACTTGAGTGATACGAAGTATATTCCCTTTCTACTGAGGAATTTATGAAAGAGAGGGAATATACTTCGTAAATAGACACAGATAAGTTCAATAAAAATATATACTGCTATACACTCCCAAGTACTAAAGTAATTCATACGAAGTATATGAAAATGGCACATCTGCCGTCTCTAACCAGGGTGAAATTATTCAAGTATGAAAACAGCACCTTCACAGGAATACATGATATACACCCCTCTAATCATAATGGTTCAGACTTCAGAAAATATAAACATCATCTGGAAGTCAGATATGCTAACTTTGGACTTCCTACAAACTCCCTTTTAACATATACGAGTATTTCACTCAAATAATGTTCCCTATGCAGCTATGCTTAACTCAAGGATCCCGCTTAGGTTTGGAGTAGAGGAAAGGAATTTCATTTACAGTGAAAGCCACGCTAATTCACCAGGGTCCTCGGTATTCGTCTCTCTCACTGTCTCACAAGTATATAATATACAACCCAGCTTTTCTGACAAAATGTTCAACAAGCTAAAGCTCCAGTGCCTCATGGTTGAAATTTGAAAGCAATCATGGGCATATTAGATATCTTCTAGAAATAGAATCGGCTTGGCAGATCCAAAACATAAAGCTCACTCTTACCTCACAAGAATATGTTTGGACGGCTATCAGAGTCATATAATCCCGCAAGCAAAGCAACAAGCACACATAACATAAGAAAACCAATCATACCAGTTCTTAGCACCTGATCAAAGCTATGACGAACATCGATTTCAGATCTGAGAAAATCAAGATCAACACTTTCGCCATTAAGTCCATCTGCAAGCAGTTGACTTGCCACTTCTATAGAAGGATAGCGCTGATTGTTGTGGGAAATTGCACTAGAGCACACTGAGCATTTGCATTCACCACCAAGACACGCTGGAATTTCCTGAAAAAACTCAAAAAGAATCTCGTGGTACTGTTCCCCAAAAAATTTCAACTTTTGTTGAGTGACTGGTTTTAGAACCTGAAAGAAATCCATATTCAACTGCTTAGTGAAACTGCAAAATAAGAAAAATGAAATGACACAATGGCCAACAGTATTAAAGCAAGGAACTCACTTTCATAACAGTTTGTGCCATCACCCGAATTACATGAGGAAGCCGAATGACATATAAACCACCAAGACAGTGTGGAAAGTGATCTTGAAAGAGCAGAGAGCAGGATCTTATCATCTGCACTGGAAGTCTAAAAGGGGATAAACCTTTGCAATCTACCACTACCGTAATTCCAGGACTTTCACGATCAGCCAAATGCAGGATACCATGCTCCATCTGAGAAACTGCATCAGCAACCAATATCCACTCAGCATGCGCCTAACTCCTCACTAAAGACACTAAAGAAATCTCCATAGCTTAGTAAGCTTCTTTTTATTATTATTTATTTTTTTATTTTATTTTATTTTATTTTATTAATACACCATAGCTTAGTAAGCTAACTAAAGGTAGCCTCATCTTGTGTGGTTGAGTGCATGCATATGAGAAAATCGTATCTTCACTTGACAGTAGGAAATGTGTTCGTGTACACAAGGCATGCAAGTGACACATTGTATAGTTCTCAGAGCAAGAATACATGTGTAAAATTTAGTGCTGTTGGTCTATGGCCTCTATGCAGTTAAAGTAACCCATAGGGCTTGAAAAGGAAAGGGATAGCACTTGAATCTAATTTTCTCTGGTTAAAGTGTAGAATTAGTGCCTCTTATAAAATTCAAATTTAAACGAAAAGCATTAGAGAAAATATATGTATCCTAATTTTTGGGTTAGCTCTTCTTCAAACCTATTGAGAGGCCTGAATTTAAGAACTCTGAAAGCAAGTAGGTAAGTTAATGAATTTAGCTTTGTAGCTGACTTGCTGTAAATGGTCTGTGAGGAATCATCATAGAGATAGCTCACACTGCAACTACTTATTGATAAATTGGTGATTGATACTCTGTCAATGAAAGATACAGTTCATTTTATTCCCCTTCACCCCCTACCCCATAACACTCCCAACCAAATAAATTAAAAAATATATAAACAAAAACATAAAATAAATAAAAAAGAAGAAGAAGAAGAAGAAGAAGAAGAAGAAGAAGACAAAGGAACTCCAAGACGGTTCTCCACGAAGATTGAGTGCTACATCTGCAAAGATGGAAAATTCAATAAAGCCTTCCCAAGGTAAAAAGACTTACCAATCGCCTGAGCAATTCGAGGTCTATCCCGAGTTGGCATATTGGTGCAAGCTACACCAAGTCGTACAATCAAGCAAGGTCTGTGTCTCAGATCATAGCCATGCCAGAAGACTATGTCAGACCACCCCTTAAGTTCCGGTTCCGATAGAATGTGATATGTTTCTCTCCAACGAATTGTCTTCTTAATTGACGAAAGCAGGCTTGAAAAGTCACCATTGGCAGAGCTGTAAAATCTTCGTAGCTCACTCTCATCGATCCTACAATGTTGCATCCCATTAAATTCAGCCATTTATTTCTTCTTATTCTTATCCCACCCTCTCATAACTAAAAATAAAAAATAAAAAATAAAAATAAACTTTCCTTTTCATTGAGCAGCAAGATAGGTAATAGTATACCATCAAACAGCACATGCACTGATTTGTAATTTTGGTTTCATCTTTCCTAATCAGGTTCTTAATACAAGCTTAATTTTTTAATACTCTGATTTGATTGGGAGGATAGATAGGATAAAAAAGCAACAGTATTAAGTATTAACAGCAAGCAATTATGGAGTATTTAGGATATGTTCTTAATGAAAACAAAAACTATTTAGGACATTTGCACTAAATATTTCTAATTTTCATACTATTTATTGTTTCCATTGTACATGATTACCTGTCTGGTAAGTTGATCCCTTGATTTTCTAGCTCTTTGTAGAGTTTTAGCAACCAATCTTCTGATGATGGACTAATAGAAGATTCATCATTGTTCCTGAAACAGAATACCAGCTTATAAATGACGGGTAGCATAACAGTAACAAAAGGACACATTTTCAATCACATAAAAAGGATCCTGCACCAGAAACTGCTAAAGAGCTAATTTCAGTGACACACAACATCAAATTTCAACAAAGTCATTCATCTGAACTTATACGACCAATTGATCAAATCAATAATGTAAAGTGAATGCTACTGGTTTACCTAACATCAACATAGGGCTGTACAGAAGGCAAGTCTTCATCCAAATTCTCAAGTACATGAGAATCATGGTGATCATCCGTAGAGCTCACCTGATCTGATTTGTCAGAGAAAGCTGTTGCTATGCAGAGGACTAACAATGGTCGTGACAACATCTGACAATAATTATTTACAAAATCTCTTAGAAAGGGGGGTTTCAAAGTTAAAAAAAAAAAAAAAAAAAAGGAAACCATGATCCAAACTGCATAATGATAAAAAGAGACTGAACTATGTACCATTAACCTTCAACAAGGAACACAGCTTAAAAGAATGGCAGAACTAAGTAGTACCTGCATACCATGCACCAAGCCTTTGAAGGGCGCCCATTTGATCCATTTAAATGGTGGATAGCATAGCATTTGGAATGCCTGAAGACTACGCCATGCAAATGGACACTTAGCGCTTGATAACCTCCTTGTAGTTTCCAGAACAGCAACTTTTAGCAGAAAAAAGCCTACATCAGCAGCAACTCCTCTTACTGCACGATCTTTAAAAGCAATATGATCAAGAGACTTCTGTGTCAAAGTCTTTGGAACGGAAGCAACCTTGGCTGTAATTTTCTGAGAGGTAACACTAGCCAATTTAGAATTACTTCTCAGACCAGAGCCACTCTGCCAATCCTCCATCTACTTAGCTTGAGAAACCTTTCAACTCAGAATTCACTGTTTTCCAAATTATTTTCTTCTAGTAAGAAAAGTAAACGAAGAGGACCATGTGTTCCTGCCTCAAGCAGTGATCCATGACACTAGGACACAAAATCTTGTCATTTTTCTGCTTACAAATAGCCAAAGAGGACGGAAGAACAAAGTGTGCAGGAAACCTGCTACTGCAGCTCCTAATTTTTCTTGAGGCAGATTTCGTTGTTATCTTACACAAGTGTAGTAAACGAAGCTGCAACAACATATATCCATCTCAAACAGAATATTTTTTTAAGATTCAAGAACCATATGAACAGGAATATACAATCTAATTCTTCATAATTCCTTCTTTTAAATTTGTACTCAGATGGTCGGATCATCTTAGAAAGCATGTCTACATTTCTATTAATAAAGATATCAGAGTATTTCCCAAACCCTCCACTTCCCCCACCTCCCAAGCAGGCAAGCACCAACAATATATCTTAATAGCTAAAGATTAAACTCAGCACAAATGACTTAGTAATATGCACTCAGTATCAAATCTCTAACCCTCTGTCTTAAACTAATTTACTTTTCTGTTTTGAGCTCACCTGCTGAGAGTAGAGGCTGTCATCAGATCTCAGTTCCTACATCACTTTCTGATTCCTCATACTTGATCATTTTCTAGAGGAAAATTCTTCACAGTCCATTCAACATGGAATTACGAAATGTATTGGAATAGATGGGACAATTTCAGATGTCATAGTGATCAAGATATGTTTTGCAAAATTAGATATGTAATTAAGTAGGAAAATAACTTTTCAATAAAAAAATCTTGCGACATAAATTTTCATGCACATTAAACAAAAAGTTTCCACCTCATGTTACTGGGACTCTTCATCTCAACTCAAGTGCCCATGAGAATCCTTGACACTCCGGCAATGAAATACTCTTCAACACACTTCATTTTCGGCTAAAATTGTGAAATTTCAACAAACGGTATCCGTGTTAGAGTAACATATATTCCACTTAACGAAATCCTATTACGCAAATCATAAACTTACAGTACCGCCCTAATTCCGCCATATATCTAGTAAAATATGCTCCCATATCCAAATTCACGCATGACGCATATATCAAAGTGTCCAAATATCAAATTAGGCTAATTTTCCAGATTTTAGCAGCACAATTCTGTCAAATTCAAAGCTTCCATTACATTCCTCTAAAAAAATCGCAAAACTCAACCTCAAATTGCAATTTCGAGCTGAAAATCAATCATCACTAAACCCTTAGAAATCATGATTTAAACTACTTTTTCCAAATTTAACACAATTTCCACCAAAAATTCCTTCGACAAAACTCGCAACAAATTTGTCCTTACAATTAATTTCTCAACAAAATGCTAAAAACATGCGATTTCGTATGCGAATGCAAATTAAGACAACAATGCAAGATCATATTCAACAACAAACAATTAATTTTAATCAATAAATCGAGATTAGGTGAGAAATTTCAATTAAAGAAAAGGAAACAATTGAATTTACCTGAAGAAGGCAGCTTCAAAGTAGAAGTCCAGAGAGATCGGAGATTTCAGAAAATGATTGAAAAATACGGATTATTTGTAGGACCAAGTAGGATGTTTGGAAAACAACAGAGACAGGACAAGGGAATAAATATTGCGAAAAAAATATCTAAAAAGTCGCGGCTTTTTCATTTCTCCGTTCGTCAAACCGTGTCGTTTTATACGTAGCATTTGATTTTTTAAGGTGAAGATTGTTTAAAATTGTGTTAATTTGGAAAATTATTTATGTATATTGTATTGTACCATTAGTTGATGGCGTGATACTATATTCAAATGAATCAAATCACATTACTCAGTGTTGGGTTTGTTCATCCTAGATCCCACGTGAAAAGTGAAAAGATTAAGTAAAGAGCTCCGTATAAATGGAAACACACTCCAATAGTAGAGGCCTTTTGAAAAGGTGGCCAAAACAAATTCGTGCGGACTAGATTCAAAGCAGACAATATCATATTAATGTGGAGTGCAGTGTGCGTGCAACCCGGGCGTTATGTTTGTGGGACGCTCCCTCAAATGTGTGATATTGCGATTGTGGTGACACTCCAATAGTATAAGGTCGTTTGAACAAAGCTGTGTGGGCTAGGCCCAAACGGACAATATCATACTAATGTGGAGTGGGGTGTGCGTGCGACCCGTCAAGTGGATGACCCGAGCCCATCAGTTAGTTAATTATTCCCCCTTTTTTTTAAAAGATTAAAAATAATTTCATTCAGCAAAATTAAGGTGATGTGCATGGACCTAAAGGTTTTTTTTTTTAATCAAATAAGATACGAGACAATCTTTGAAACATAATGAGTATTTATATTTAGGGAGTATATGTAACAATAAGTTATAAATGGGTTATCGTAATAAAAAAAAAAAGTTATAAATGGGTTATTATAAATCTCATGAAATTTAAAATTTACTCTACATATACTTTGAAGATTTTCATTAAGATACCATTAAATTCTTGATCTAATGGTTAAGACTGAAGTCTTTGCATATCGTGTTTGGTAAATCATAGGTTTAAATTTATAGTGATTGAAAATATATTTCTTTTTAAGAGACTTATTGAGCTTGTACTCCAAATTTAAACAAACATTTTATTGGAGTAAAAAGTTAGAGTAGATTGCATAGATTCCTTTTTCTCGTATGCAATTTTTTTTTTTGAACGGGAAGAATAATATCATTAAATAAAAAGCCATATGGCATCTACAATAATAAGGATCTGTAAATCACAGATTTAGAGAAAATATCATAACTTTTACAATCAAAATCATAACTAATTTGCATATTTGGCATATCTCATACTCCACCACTTCAAGCTTGACGCGAGCAATGATTTTCGATGTCTTTGCATCTTTCCAAGTTGAGACTCCGCAATCTGCGCTGATGTTTTGATCGACCGGTTGATGACAAATCCCAGACCCATAGGAATCCAAATCACTTTCCCAATTATTATAAGAACCCTAAAAATAAAATTCTCATCCATAGATGAGAATCAAAATCCCAGAAAATTGGGACAGACTCTCACAAATGGAGAGAACAAAACAAAACAAATAAACCAAAACGTAAGAAAAAACAAAAAAACTAAATTGAATTAAAGAAAAAGGGTCGGAAATAGTCTAATTTCTGAAACGACCAAGAAAATTAAAACCCTAGAAGAGAGAGGAGAGAGAAAAAGGGGCGGCCGAAGGTTTACTCCTATTATACTTTATTTACCTAAAAGGTTCGTATGCAAATTTTGTACATAATAGTTTTTGGTTTTTTTTTTTTAATTTTTTTTTTTAATTTATAATGGAGTGCATCATAATTAGCCGAGAAATTAGGTGTAACAACAATCTAGCTGTCCTATGCGTAATGTATTTCATTTTCAGGAGTAATTCGTGACCCCTTTTTGCCTTATTAATTAATAACCAAATTACTCAGATCAATCACTGGGGAAGTAGTGAACTAGTGATTACTACGAAGCATAAGTATTTCTATATTTGTGAAAAATATTATCGATAAAGTAGGAAAGTTGATATTTATAATGTTATTTTAAGTGTAAAAAGTATCACAAATGATAATGATATGTAGAATACGAATTCATATATGAAAATATGAAATACGAAAATTTTGGATATTTTTAGAGCTAAGACATAAACCATTAAAATTTTATCAACTAGAACCTTACAAATTCATGTAGCGAGAAGGTGTTATATTAATTCAACCATATATAGAATGATTAATTTATATCCTTCCGAGCCAAACATTTGTTAGGTAATAAATAAATCGATGTTTTATTGTTTTAATATAGTGTCTGAAATCAACAATTTTATTCCTAAAAAAAAAAAAAAAGGACATAATCGTGCATGCAAACGGGTGGCATCTCCATAACTCTCACACCTTGCTCATGCACCCAACACGTGTTGCAATTGAGGATAGATGCAAAAAATTGCATGACAAAATCAAAGTTATAAACCGATGAAAATTACAATCAGAATTCAGAAATATATAAAAAAAAGTTGGATCTTTCATAATATTTCATAAACTCAATCAAATCAACTTGAATTTGGGGAAAAAATGGCTTCAAAGTTGAACCCAGCGTATGCTTATACAGTTTTGTATGTGAAAGACGTTGAAAAAGCCGTTGCATTTTATTCCAAAGCTTTTGGTATCAACATTCGCCGTTTAGACAATTCTCGCAGGTAAAATAATCAAGAAAATAAGCTTTTGTGTCTATAAACTTTGGCGCAGCTTGATTTGATAAACTAATTTCCCACGGTGGTCTTCAAAAAAAAAAAAAAAAAAAAAAAAAGAGTTCGATATAATATATATCGACTGAGACGACTGTTAAGTATCATGTCATCATTTACGTCTTAATATTAAAAAAAAAAAATTGCTCATTTATTAATGAGCAAATAATCCCACATGTTTCCTCAAAAAAAAAAATTAATCCCAGATGTACTAGATAGACTCTACATGACTCTATATTGAGGAGCAATATGTTCACGATTATATTCTACCACAAATATGGAGTATCATGTTGTACATGGTATATACAAGAACTATTATTATTAAATTGTCGTAGTAGGAAATTTAAGTAATATAAATTCATCAATGGTATGGAAGATTGTTGTGCGACAGCGGAAGCAAAGGTCGTAAACAAACAAGAAAACAATAAAGAAATTCAATGCAAACAATAAGAACAACACCAAGAATTTACGTGGTTCACTATCGATGTGATAGCTACGTCCACGGGCACCGAGATCGAATGATTTCACTATAAACTGCAAAGATTACAAAGATGATTCTTGTATTTCTCAAGAACGGCTCTCACTCTCTCTCTCTCTTAACCCTTATACTAATATTAGGGAGGTTTTATATTAATCCCTAAAATAAAAGATACTTGGGCAAAAAGATAACATAAAAGATAACTTTAAATCGTAAAATCCGCGTCTCCGCATTTTTCCTTCTCCGCCCGGTCAGACCGGGCAAGGTCTGCCCGATCGGGCGCGAGAAGAAAACTCCATACGAATGCTTCAACGTATCCAACCCCCACCGCCCGGTCAGACCGGGCAAGGTCTGCCCGATCGGGCGAAGGCTCGCCCGGTCGGGCGAAGGCTCGCCCGGTCGGGCGCGAGAGCAGCTTCTTCAACGAATTTGCCAGGCACCTCTTCTTCTTCCGCCCGGTCAGACCGGGCAATGTCCGCCCGATCGGGCGGACAAAGCTACGAAGTACGAGTCACCTAATATACTTATCAACAATCTCCACCTTGACGAGAACTCGTAGTCAGCAAACGACCCCATCAAGACATAGTGAAAAACATCTCAAGCCAAACCCGATGCAAGACTCATGCATAAGCCATACATCCCGATAAGTCTTCAACCAAGACCCATCACATACTCGTCTCCAAGTATAACAACTCATAATGCTCCACCTGCATCACAAGCCCCGGGCAAGCTCCACCTTAAGGCCAACACACCTACACCAGGAGCTCCCCAACTTCGCCCCTCAGGGCCTACTACATCACGTAGTAATCAATATTTAACAAGTCTAAGCAATGTTTAAACTTGCTAAACGGAACAGGCTTAGTGAAGAAATCAGCCGGGTTGTCAGCAGTCCCAATCTTCTTCACCTTAATCCTCTTGTCAGTACGTAAGAAATGATACCTGACATCAATGTGCTTCGTCCGATCATGGTGTACTTGATCTTTAGCTAAGCAAATCGCACTTAGACTATCACAATACACTGTAGCAAAATCCTGTGCAATACCCAGTTCACCTACTAGGCCTTTGAGCCAAATAGACTCCTTAGCTGCAGAAGTTAGAGCCATATACTCAGCTTCAGTAGTTGACAACGTAACTGATGACTGCAATGTAGACTTCCAACTAACCACAGAACCACCCAAAGTGAACACATAACCAGTCACAGACCTCCTGGTATCCACATCAGCTGCATAATCAGAATCACTGTACCCAGTGACCAAGCATTCCCTACCATTCCCGTACACAAGACCAATATCAGTTGTCCCTCTCAGGTAGCGAAAAATCCTTTTCACCCCTTGCCAGTGTTCCCTCCCAGGTCGAGCCATAAACCTGCTTACAACACTAACAGCATGCGCAATATCCGGCCTAGTACAGACCATAGCATACATCAAACAACCAACCGCATTTGCATATGGAACTCTAGACATATAAGACAACTCCTCCTCTGATTGAGGTGACATAGACAAAGACAACTTACAACTAACAGTAGTTGGCGTACTTATAGGCTTCGATTTTTCCATCCCAAAACGAGACAAAATCTTTTCAATGTAGCTTTTCTGAGTCAAGAAAAGCTTACCTCTAGCCCGATCCCTGTAGATCTCCATACCCAAAATCTTCCTAGCTGCACCCAAGTCTTTCATGTCAAACTCCGAGTTAAGCATCTCCTTTAATCTAGCAATATCAGATTTATTCTTTGTGGCAACCAACATGTCATCAACATATAACAAAAGATAAATCATGGAACCATTATCCAGCTTACTATGATACACACAGCAATCATATGAATTCCTGTCAAAACCTTGTGAAACCATAAAAGAATCAAACCTTTTGTACCACTGTCGGGGGGATTGCTTAAGTCCATACAATGACTTTAGCAATCTGCAGGCATAGTGTTCCTTTCCAGGAACTTCGAATCCTTCGGGCTGCTTCATCAGAATCTCCTCCTCCAAATCGCCATGAAGGAAAGCCGTTTTAACATCCAACTGCTCCAGCTCAAGATCAAAATGTGCTACAATTGACAATAACACACGGATAGAAGTATGTCGAACCACAGGTGAGAATATCTCAACAAAATCAACCCCTTCTACCTGACTGAACCCCTTAGCAACTAGCCTAGCCTTAAAACGTATTTGCTCAGTTTCCGACAACCCTTCTTTCTTCTTGTAAATCCATTTACAACCCACAAGCTTCCTCCCTTCCGGTACCTTTACCAGTTCCCACACTCTGTTCTTGTAAAGAGACTGCATCTCTTCACCCATTGCGGCAAGCCATTGCGCAGACTCACTACAACTAATTGCTTGTTTATATGTGGCAGGTTCAAATGACTCTACATCATCAGCTACACTCAATGCATAACCTGTCATCGCATCAACACAGCAATTTCTTCCCTCCATCCCTTCAATCAATCTAACAGGCTTCTTGATAACTCGTTTAGGCATCTCAAGAATGGTGTCAGGTTGACTAGATGACCCCTGATTAGATTGCTCCACCTCATCCCCAGAGTTAGAATGAGTAGGAGTAATCTCAGGTTCAGGAGTACCCGGCACTGGAACATCAGCATCATCATCAATATATTGTACCCGAGGTAAATCAGCAATGGTAGACTGATGTACCTCAAGTACCCCATCTGTCTGTAATAAATTGTCTCCTTCCCTTCTCAAATCTGAAATCTCTGCATTTTTAATTGAATACATGGTGTTTTCATCGAAAGTAACATCCCTACTAAGAATGACCCGACCCTCCGAAGGTGAAAAAATTCTAAACCCCTTCACACCATCCCCGTACCCAACAAAACACCCCTTCTTGGCTCGTGGATCCAGCTTACCCTCAATAACATGATAATAAGCAACACAACCAAAAATCTTCAAATTCGAAAAATTAGGCAACTTACCACTCCAGATCTCAAACGGAATCTTGGAATCAATTCCAGAATGAGGACCCCTATTAATGACATAACAAGCTGTTAACACAGCTTCACTCCAGTACCTCCTCCCAAGCCCTGCATTAGAGAGCATGCATCGGACTCTCTCTAGCAGTGTCTGATTAACCCGTTCTGCTACACCGTTCTGCTGTGGTGTCTTCCTGACAGTATGATGCCGACCTATACCCTCATCTGCACAGAACTGATTAAACTCGTCTTTGCAAAACTCTAGCCCATTGTCCGTTCGTAGCTTCTTGATCTTCCTTCCTTGTCGATTTTCCACCAAAGCTTTCCATTGCTTGAAAACTTTGAAGGCCTCATCCTTTGACTTAAGCAACCTAAGCCATGTGTATCGGGACTTGTCATCAACAAATGACACAAAATAGTGGTAACCTCCCATACCTTCAACTCTAGATGGACCCCAGCAATCTGAATGGATGTAATCGAGCACTGCATCAGTAATGTGAGCACCCTTGCTGAACTTTGACCTGTGTTTCTTACCAAACACACAATGCTCACAAAATTCAAGGTTGGCAACCTTGACCCCGGATAGAAGACCCCTCTTGGACAATAGCTGCATCCCCTTCTCCCCCATATGACCAAGCCTCATGTGCCAAATCTTAGTCATCTCCTGGTGAGATACAGATGCGCAAACCGCAGAACTAGGCAGTGTAACACCCTCAAAAACATAGAGGGTGTTCCTTTTGATACCCTTAAGTACCAACTCAGAACCTCTGAAAATACACAACTCCCCATCTGAAAACACACCATTGTACCCCAATTCATCCAGGGTACCCAATGAAATCAGATTCTTTCCTAAAGCAGGAACATGCCGTACATTAGTCAAAGTTAACCTCCGCCCATCAACAGTCCTCAACCTCATGGAACCAATACCTGTGACCTTACATGGAGCATTGTTACCGACTATAACCATACCCCCATTGCGAGGTTCATATGTATCAAACCAATCTCGACGTGGACACATATGGAACGAACACCCCGAATCTAGAACCCAGTTATCAGATAAATCATCAGACCTAGCAGAACTGACTAATGCTAAATCTTCCTCTGAATTATAGCTCTCATTCGGTTTCTCTTCAACTACAGCAGCCTGGGACTTGTTTTTCCTCACCGGACAATTATTCCTAAAGTGACCCGGTTCTTTACAGTAATAACATGTTTTAGTAGTAGTTTTACTAGATCCATCCTTGCCGTTTCCAGCACCCGACCCAGCATTGTTCCCCTTGTTAAACCCCTTATTCTTTTTAGACTTTCCGGACTTAACAAATAACCCACTACCATTATCCCCATTATCACTCGTAGCTTTCATTCTGAGTTCCCTAGTATGAAGTGCTGCCTTCACTTCTTCTAAGGTTATAGAATCCTTACCAACAACAAAAGACTCTACAAAATTCTCAAAGCTAGACGGTAGAGATACAAGTAAAATCAACGCAGCATCCTCATCATCAATTTTAACATCTAAATTACGTAAATCAAGCAAAATAGAGTTAAGTTTTTCTAGATGTTCCCGTAAGGAAGTACCTGACTGCATCCGGAGGCTAAACAACCGCTGTTTCAGTAATAATTTGTTGGTCAACGACTTAGTCATATACAATGACTCCAGCTTCAGCCACAATCCAGCCGCCGTTTCCTGATCAGCAACCTCCGTGATGATTTGATCATCAAGACTAAGTAATATGGTAGAGTGTGCCTTCTCTTCCATAACTTCTAACTGCGAGTCAGTCGGTCCGTCTCCTGACTCCGAAGTAGTACTCTTTGGAGCCAACGGACGCCATATCTGCTGTTGTTTTAACAGAGCCTTCATCTTAATTTGCCATAGCCCGAAACTATTTTTCCCGGTAAACTTCTCAATTCTTATTGTTGAATCTCCTGCCATTGTTATCTTCAAGAAACTCTCCAAGGATTGAACCTGAGCTCTGATACCAATTGTTGTGCGACAGCGGAAGCAAAGGTCGTAAACAAACAAGAAAACAATAAAGAAATTCAATGCAAACAATAAGAACAACACCAAGAATTTACGTGGTTCACTATCGATGTGATAGCTACGTCCACGGGCACCGAGATCGAATGATTTCACTATAAACTGCAAAGATTACAAAGATGATTCTTGTATTTCTCAAGAACGGCTCTCACTCTCTCTCTCTTAACCCTTATACTAATATTAGGGAGGTTTTATATTAATCCCTAAAATAAAAGATACTTGGGCAAAAAGATAACATAAAAGATAACTTTAAATCGTAAAATCCGCGTCTCCGCATTTTTCCTTCTCCGCCCGGTCAGACCGGGCAAGGTCTGCCCGATCGGGCGCGAGAAGAAAACTCCATACGAATGCTTCAACGTATCCAACCCCCACCGCCCGGTCAGACCGGGCAAGGTCTGCCCGATCGGGCGAAGGCTCGCCCGGTCGGGCGAAGGCTCGCCCGGTCGGGCGCGAGAGCAGCTTCTTCAACGAATTTGCCAGGCACCTCTTCTTCTTCCGCCCGGTCAGACCGGGCAATGTCCGCCCGATCGGGCGGACAAAGCTACGAAGTACGAGTCACCTAATATACTTATCAACAAAGATCATACGACATCTACAATAGAATTTAAAATTGATGAATACTCCAACCACATTACTCTAATTACTTTCCGTGTGTTTTTAATAGATTGTCATTTTTTAATTAAATTGTAATTTGATTGATTGTGGTATGATGTGTAGATGGGGAGAGTTGGAGAGTGGACAGACCACAATAGCATTCACCCCAATCCATCAACACGAGACCGATGAGGTAACAGGTGAGGTCCATACATTTCAATCCAAACGCGAACGAGGACCAATCGAGGTGTGCTTCGATTACGCCGATGTGGATGCTGCTTACAAGGTATGTATCACAATATATCCTCCTAATTGATGATGCATCACGATTGAATGTTGCCTTTGTTTTTATTTCCCTCTAAAATATTTTATGTCTCTTAGAAACGGAAGTAGAATTTTAATTTCTTCAACACATGCTATGTTTTTGAACAGAGGGCTTTGGAGAATGGCGCAGAAGCAGTGAGTCCACCTGAACAAAAGGAATGGAACCAGAAGGTTGGATACGTTCGTGATATCGATGGCATGGTTGTTAGGCTTGGCAGCAATGTCACTCCCCCAAAACATTAGATAGATGGCCTGTTTAGTACGAAGTACGAAGTATTAGTTTAGTTATGCAATGGTAGGAACCACAAGAATTTACTACCTTGATAATAAATAAATGTACATGTATCAATGTCACTCCTCCTAAACGACATTAGATAGATTACATATATTGTGTTGGTTTATGTAGCGGTATGGGCAAAAATTTAAATGTACATGTATCGATGTATGTCATATACTCATATTGCCATCCTTTGTTTGGTTATGTAATAGCTAAAAATTGACTAGAAAATAAATGTATTTTTATGTACTCCTTTTGTATGTATTGGTAATTAACGGACTAATATGGTTAATATCCGGCCTCTTATGGATTTTATAAGAGAGTCGTAGATGTATATATTCCTTTCACTTAGATGGTTGATGCTCTTCCATTTTGAAGGGTTGATAGTTAATCTTTTTTACCATGAAAAGTTTTAACTTAGATTCATTTGAAGTCACTATATTATACCTTTAAATTACCATCACTTCATATGAAAATGGGGACATTTTTGGAAGAAAAAAAAAATATATATATAAACGTTATAAATTAGTATGCAATTATGCATGACTATTATTGTATTTTTTGGAGGCGCTCTAGGGAATTTTGGTTTCTTGGTTTTTGTTTTGATTTCGGTTTGTTGGTAAATCTAAAACTAATAAGAAAACTAACAAATTATACATCTTTGGCTTGTGTACATATAAGTATGAAAATTGCAGATTCTATTTATCAAAAGAAGAAAAAGGAAACTATAGATAGTACTCCGTGGTATATTATTCCCTATGTCGATCATATAAATCGGACCTACAAATTGATAGGAGAATCAGTACAAGTGTATAACTAGTTACTCAATAACAGCCAAGAATAGTAGTTCACTGATGTATCTTTGAAACAGAATCACAGGAATGCATTTCACCACTTTATGCCCAATTTCTTGGTACCTTCTCTTTATTGCACTTGTTAGGTAGTGTCACTTTTATCTATGAAAACATTCTTATGCTATGACAAGAACCTAAAACTTTCGGATTCGATTGCAATATTCTTGTGTCACATTAATTTCTTGTATATTGTGTTTACAATACGCACTGTTTTCCTGTATCGTTCCAATTTTATCTAAAATCTCGAAAAAAATAAGAAAAATACGTAATTGCTAGGGAGGTCTATAGCAGTCAATTACAGCATCTAAACGTACTCAAGTATTTTTCCTCTTCAATTTCTCTCGATAATGTTATAAAACATGTAGATTTCAATATAAACTTCGTTTTAATGCATGTAATTTCAAAGGGTACTAATTTTCATTTTTCGTGATGATTAATTATTTGATTGATCATACAGAGTAGGGTATTATGGCTTCCTCTCAACAGCTACCAGCTTCAACATCAATACTGCAAAATGAGGACAGAGCAGTTGTGGAGCAGATGATGAAAGAGGCAGAGAAAATCCTACTCTCAGACAATCCTAACGTTGAGAAAATGCAACTTCAAATTGCTGGTTGCATATTAAACATAACCAAGGGAAGCCGATTACATATTCATAGTAAACATGATTGGAGTGGTCAAGTAAGCTTTCGAGCTGAGTTTCCAGCAGAAATACCAATAGGAGGGACGGCGAAGTTTGTACACTATGGAGCTCCTTCAAAAGGCTCCAAGGCTGCCGTGGTGTATGCTAGTGTCGATTGTGCATGGCTCTTGGCTTGGTATGTACCCTTCGGCGATGAGCCTAACAAGGTATGTTTTTAACTTCCATGCTATAGATTAAGCTAAAACGTACTAATATAGGCTAATTGTCATAGAGAGGAGTCCCTAAAGATGTGTAAAGGTTATGTCAAGATTAGTAAAGTCACAAAGGTTAGTATATCACATATAGTCATATACGATGAGATTGCAATTCATATTTTTAAAGCCAGTTGAGGCAATACGTATGATTGAGCTGAATTTGATGCTTTAACGCGATTTTCTATGGATTGTTTGTAGATATTCGTTGAAGATGGACCAAAAGAAAACTATAACGTCATAGATTGGTATGAAATAGAAAGAAAACTGGAAGCATCGGGCAACACGAGTGTTTATGAAGACGCGTCCACAAGATGCAAGTCCATTGCAGAGCTTAATGGTGATGGCAAAAAGGTTAAACTTGGTGCTATGTTCCTCAATGGATGACTGGCTAGAATTTTAAATCTTGTTGATGCTAAATTTTAAAGGCTCTGTTTATATAGACTTCGTATGTAGTTGATATCAACAAATAAGTAATAACGAAGATAATCTTGATGTTAATGCAAAGTATTATGAACCACGTTACTTCATCGCCTATTTACTATGAAGATCGGTAACTTCTTATGATGGCCTTTCTTAACATGCAGTGTACACATCAAAGAAGAATCCGACCACATACAACCCAAACTCATTGAGTTTTTATACAGGCTATTGCTAATGGGTAGAGTAATTCATTAGTTTTGGTTTTGCTCAGAGATATCCAAGAGAGAACTTCACAATAATGTATCAACCACATGCAGAACCACGACGGAAGGCTCTGTTTGTTTGAAGATCTGAACACATCCCTACCTTAATGGTTAGCTCATCACGCAGAAACGCCAAGAAATATAAGAATTGGAAAGAAGATCTTGTTTGAGTGAAAATTAAAAGCAGCAATTATGAAACTAACAATTAGAATGAGAACCTGATATCATTAATTTGATATGCAATGTATTCATAAATACAAGTAAAAGGGCTACAAATAAACTATAATGAGAAAGAATCATCCCTTGTTTGTACTGGGAAAGCAAACTCCTAAAGCTTCAGGACAAAGAATAGATATTAAAGACACAACAAAAACAGGACAGAAAATAAATGTGATTTTCCAGTTGATCTTTGGAGGATTGGAAGATCATAACATCTCTTGAGACAGCCTGATGCATCGGCTGACCCTTTTCCTGAAACCATTTCTATCGTCCCTCCATTGCTTCTGCAAGTATATATAACAAGATTACGTTTAGCTTATTGTTTGAGCTATGTTCTCAATCTTCTCATCAATATCAAAAATGTAATGCAGCTTAAATTTGCAAAACTCAAATAAATCAAAGGAATATCATTATTAAGTTAAATTAAGAGCTTGATAATTGGTCCAGAGAAATGGTCATCATAGATTACAATACAGGTGAAACTCAATCAGCAAAGCCTTGCAGTAAGGAAATTTCATTTAAACAAGCCATACTACTATAACTAACAGAAAAGGCAGTAGGGTTTACCGCAGCTTCAACATTGGCTGGAGATTCGTCGTTAGGACTAGCAAGCATCGATATGATACTTAGAAGTATACTTTCAACCTATTAAGAAAGCATATGAAGTATAAGCAATACATAATCCAAAAAAAGTATGATATCAAAGAATTTCTTTTTCTTTTGTTGTCAGAAAGTGAAAAACATAGGCAGACTTCCTCACACAAAGCCATATTTACTCATCCTTGAAATTCTATTGCATGAAATGCATAGTACACGAAAAAATGAAGGGGGCAAATCTTGTATAATTAATGTACAGATGCATATGCGTACATTTACAAGATTGGATTTGTTACCAACTCGGTGATGCTAAATTTGCTTACAAATTACTTTCACCATTAATGAACAAATTTGCAAATAAGTTAAATCCTTGTAACTTGACACAGGACAAACCACATACACAACTTATAAGAATAAGAATTACTTGCAGATATAAATTATAAAGTTGAATCCAAATAACTTAATTCAGGAGCTTTTCAAAAAAAAAAAAAACTTAATTCGGGACACTTATAAAAAAAAGAATTACTTGCAGATTGAAACATTATAAAGTTGAATCCTTCTACATGAGATTTAGATTCTCTAAATAACTTGCCCAAAACTATGCAACAGAAATTGTAGAAAGTAAGGATAATACCGTATGGACAGGAGTCCATCGTTCACTTGAAAGCTCATATCCATTTGGATCATCACCAGGAGGATGAAGTATCGATATGCAAACTTTTCCATCACTATAAACTGTTACATTCAAGAAAAAAAAAAAATACCATAAACATCTAATTAATTTGTCATGTTTCTTAAAATCAAAGAGTTTATAATTGGATTATACCATTAGCAACAAGCTTTTCTAAAGCTATGATTCAAGTAGAGTTCAAGACATCCGATTAAAGTTATCATCTTCCTTAAGATCATATACAGTAGTTTATAATTAAATTTAAGTATTTTACCATTGGGATGCCACATTTCGGATGTAAACGTTACGGATGGCGGGCTGTTGGGATAATTCTTCGGAAATTTCATTATGGCATTGAAAAATCCTCCTTCACTGTATACAATACAAGTTTTGAAAATGTTATTAACTGTTATTTCTCAGCATGAACATGTTAATACAAAGTATTTGATAATTTACTGCATATAATACCAGATATTTACACAGGAAAAAAAAGGAACTCAATCAAGAGAAAACCTAAAATCAGGTTAAAAAAAAAAAAAAAAAAACCTAAAATCACAATATCAGTCCATTTTAATTTTACATATGAACAGTACTAGCAGCCAATTTGGTATACCTATTATTAACAATCATAAATCTCACAATTCAACATTGCGTGAAATTAAAGCCAAAATTATATTCTCACACAATTCTATTTTAATTTTTTTTTTAAGGTGGGAAAAGGTAATCGTTTAAAAATCCCCAATACTCGTAATCAAAAAAAAAAAAAAAAAACATGAAATCAGAAATTGAAATTCAACAAAATTAATTCAGAAAATAAATTAAAATTAATAAGAGTAAAAATCTTACTACATAGTATCAGGAGGACCGATAATAGTTACACTCCATTCAAACAAATTGTTCTCCTCTGATAAACCTGCTGAAAACCCATCAACTGGATGTTTGCAAAGATCTGAAAATTCACCAAACAAAAACAAAATCGCATAAAAAATCAGAAAAATACAAATTCAACAGAATAATTGAAGAAATTAGCTTTTATTTTGTCGAATCAATTGATACCTTTAAGCTGCTTTTGGAGGAGGAGAGAAGCTTGAGAAGGAGAACCCATGAAGGAGAGAGAAAGTTTTTCGAATTTGGACTTTTTTTTTCAATAGTGATGACGGCGATAGTACAGAATTATGAGTTTGGGTTCTTAGCTGCTTATATTTATACTTTTGTAAGATTATGATTCTTCTTGTCTAAAATTATTAAATATATATACGGAATACTTTCCTATAAAATAATGAAGTGATTTAAGGAAATTACCGAATACTTTCCCCTCCGTATAGTAGATTACTCGTTAGAGATATGTATTAATACAAGTGCGACTCAAGTTGGATTATCTAATGCGACTCAAGTTGGATTATTCAATTGATAAATGGAATTACAATTTACTCGTAAATCTCTACTCGCTAAATATGTAATCTTTCCATTAGATGTACGTAGTCGGACTTAATTTGGTAACTTAGGAATAATTAGTAGGTTACCCTAAAATCTATTCAACTTACATCCAAAAAAAGGAAAGACTAAAAGGCAACTAGCCAATTAACTTAATTAGATGGCATCCTTCAAAAAAATAGGGTCCAATTGCCCAAGTGTCGGCACGTGTGGGGCCAAGTTGGTGATATCAATTAGTAACTTTCATTGCCTTTTTTGAAGAAAAGCTCAATTCGATGAATAGTCGGTTGGTCGCTTGGTTCATGACTAAAAATATCAAGTGCAACAAGTAACAAAAAAAAGGTTGTACAATTAATAATCTACTACGTTTAAGTTTTAGATTATTATAAGTATTTTTTTCACGTTGAATTCTAAAGTATTCTCACTTTTACAAGGAAGTTAAAAACACAGGATGTTTAAGTGTTAAGAGTAGTGGTCTTTCTTTAGATCTAAGAATTTTTAGTTGAAAACATGGTAATTTTTTTCAGAGATAAAATTCGAGAAATTGTGAGAATTGCTCCTCCAAAAAAAAAAAAGGCTAATTTGTTCTTAATTCGCACATTAAACTCCATCTCCTTATAGCCATACATCAATGGAGTTCAAGGGATAACCGGAATCATCAACCAGATGACCATGGGAGATATGACATATTACAGATAGGTTTGAATGTAATGATGCATTGATGCTCACTAAGAGTTCAGTTTCCAAATAGCTATTGCCATTGTGTAGAACAATTAATATTACATACTGAACTACTACACATCAGAATCACAGTACACTAGTATTATTTTAATTTAATGTGCAATAGAAATAGAATATGTACGTAAATGGAATCCAATACTATATCAACCTTAATTAAGAAATTGAGAGTCCAAACCAGAGACAGGCATGCAACATTAATGTGACGTATTAGGTCAACTAACAAGAGTAAACCATACCCATGTAAATAGAACTTAGGAGAGCTTATCTGCAAGATTTGTCACATATAACAAACGATAAATCAATTGCATTCGCCAATTTGGCTAAAAAAGAAGCATGAACTCTTTAACAGCTGATTGCGCATCCAGCAATTTTTTGCCCAGCTATAAACGCAGAAATTCCACATATTGAAACACATACTGTCATTTCGACTCAAAATAACGCAGCAAGCACAATCAAAAGTTAATAATCTAACGGGCATGAGGGAATTTTGACAGAAATCTTATTCAATCCCAGTCAAAACTCCTGCAATAACTAATCTGATCCCACCTAATTCCCCAAAATAATTCTATAAAAACAGTTCTCCCATTAGATTGTTTTTCAAATTTCCTATCGCATGGGAGCACAATGGCAACATCTAATGAAGGCCAAAGCAGGTGAGAACACTTGAGAGATATGTAGCCATGTAGGTGAATCATAGCATCTCTTGCGATTTTCTTACACACCGGCTGACCTTTTTCCTGAATCCATCTCTATCTTCCCTCCATTCCTTCTGCAAAATTTTAAAAATATAGTTCAATCCTCTGACAGAAACAACATCTAGATTTCAGATTACAAAAACAAATACAGCATTTTGGATTGTTTTTAATTATGTCAGATGATTGAGAACGCAAACGTAGAAGAAAAAAAAAATCAAAATTATCATGCAAGTAGCAAAAGAGGGTGCATGTGCACACAGACGTCCTATTATTTAACCTATCACTCAACATTCTAAATAAATAACTGTACAGAGAACCCTCAACCAGAAGTGAATCTATGAGACCATAATTCCACCCTGAAAACCCCAAAAGCACTTGACAATAGTAGCCAGTAGGTCCATAGTTTTAAGGTGAAAGATTTAAATTCCACAAAGTGATTATGGGTATATACATGAATATCTCTAGCTGTAGTGAGAGAGTTTGTGACGAAAGGGCTTAGCTACTAGAGATAGAATTCTTGATAACAACCGGACCTTAAAAAGCTAACATAGTATGAACAAATTACGAATCCAGCGGACAAAGCATATTAAATCTTTTACAAATACGAGTAAGAATTTCCAAAACAGCAAAAATACATGCAACGTACCGCAGCTTCAACATTTGCTGGAGATTCGTCATTAGGACTGGAAAGCATTGATATGATACTAAGAACTATGCTTTCAACCTGACAGAAACATAAACAAGTGTAAGCATATGAGCAGTCTTAGCAATAAAATAAAAATAAATAAATAGTTAATATTGAGATAGGCAACAGAAACAAGAGAGGCAATCTTATAGTAACCAGCCAAACAATCTAATTCATCATTTACAAATAATCCTTAGGCAAACTTAAACTTTAGGTACAGAACTTCAAAATTGCCATTCAATCATAAATGCCACAACTAACCATGCATTATGCCCTCAGTTCAGCTAAGTCTAGCAACACTACAAACTCACAAGATCCATTGAATGTCCAGGAGGAGGAAAAAAAAAAACTTGAAATTACACCAACCAAATCTATATGACTAGGGAAATCAATCTCTTAAGTATAATAAAGTAATATACAACCACAACTACTACCAATTGGCTATATTCATGAATTGATTATATCACATTGACAAGATAATATAGGTATAAATTGTCGATGGCAACAAGTACATTTTTCCTTCTAATCCAGATTTTTTTTTGGAGAAATAGCTGCATAGGTTATTACTGTATTAGATACTCCATAATACTGCCGCATATACGTTTGCAGATACATTTTTTTAACAGAAACAGTCAAACGTCACAAGATTAACAAAAACTTCACATTTCAAAGTCATCAAACAAAATCTGACTAGTTCTCAGAGTAATGAACACTCACTGTATGAACTGGACTCCATCGCTCACTTGCAAGTTCATAGCCATTTGGGTCATCGCCAGGTGGATGAAGAATTGATATGCAAACCCGGCCATCAGTATAAACTGTGAAAATTCACCAATGAACATCTTTGAGAAACACACGATATTACAGTGATATAGAAATATCAATAATCAAGCCAACGACAGTCAAGAATCAACCAACCGTTTGGATGCCATATATCCGATGTAAACCTCACTTGAGGGGGGCTATTTGGATAATTCGGCGGAAATGACATAATGGCATTGAAAAATCCCCCTTCGCTGCAAAGCAGTAGGTTTGAAACTTGTAAGTATAAAACAACTACGAACGATAACTAATGCATCAAGAAGGTTACTTGTTCCAAAGAATTACTGATTCCAATAGCACCCAAGATTTATTATCCAATTTCATATCCAAGATACAAAAATCTGACAGATGAATCATCAAGAACCACCAATTGAACCATCAAATCAAAATTAACAATCTAATCCCCACTTCAAACAAACAGGCAAAAACACATTGGATCATCGACAAGAATCAAACATCTTCTCAGCAAAGATCAAAAACGGATCGTCAGCACAAAATTCAACAGCAAAACAAGACAACAAATCAAATTGCAAATACCAATTAAAAATTGAGATGAACCAAACGTTATAAACCAAAGATCATCCTTAAAATTCATCAAATTCATCGCTAAATTCACATAAACTTAAAACCCTAGAATCCTAGTATACCAATTAAACCCCAAAAAAATAAAAAATAAAAACAGCGAAATTACAGAATAAAGAAACATACTAAAGGGTATCAGGAGGCCCAATCACCGTAACACTCCATTCAAAAAGATTATTTTCATCAACCAATCCAGCTGAAAACCCATCAACAGGGTTTTTGCAAAGATCTGCAAAAAAACAGAAAATCAATCAATAATTCCACAAATAATTTGAAATTCCAAAATTCAAAAAAAAAAATAAACAATTCAATCAAACAGCAATCAAATCTAAAAATATCAGAGAGATCAATTGAAAATTGAATTGGGATAAAAACCTTTAAGCTGCTTTTGGAGCAGAAGCGAAGCTTGAGATGGTGACGACATGGAAGGAGGAGGAGAGAGAAAGAAGAAAAGCCGAGTAAGATTTGACGATAAGAAGAAGAAGAAGGGATTTGCTCAAATAGAAGATTCCAGAAGAGAGAGTTGCTTGAGAATCCGCAACTTTGCTCTTTCTTTCTCTCTCCTTCTCTTCTCTCTCTCCCACTAATTTTTTTTCTGCCTCTGCAAATATTAGCTTTAAATATTGCATGGGCCAAAGGAACCAGCTACTAGAGAATAATTTGGTATTTATATTTATCGCTTTTTTTTTTTTTTTTTTTTCAAAACCCTATTTTTCATTCCAAAAAAACAATTTTAATTTTTTTTTTTGAAGGGAACAATTTTAATTTGGTACATGGATTGATGGAAAATTCAATTGTCCTTGTTCTTTTGATTTAGTAGATGGATGAACATTGACAAATATCTTTTACTTGTAAGATTTTTTTTTTCAATGATATCTTATAAGAAATTTTAACCAAACATATTTTTTAGGTGAGATCTAAATTTGAAAACAACCTCAAATATTGATAACAATTAATTTGTTAAAAAAAAATAGGGAATCAAATAATAAAAAAATATATAAATCTCTAATGATTAAAGGGGGGGGGGGAACAATATTAAAGTGTAATTTTTTTTTTAAGAGTATCATTAGTCATTGCATGAATTGTATTAGAGAATTGTTACATCGCCCAATAATTGCTCCAATAATAGCCAATAGTTCATTAATTGGGATAAACGCATAGTTGATTGTGTTTTTGGTATTTTGTAGATTGTCGATGATTATAACATCTCTATTTTTTTTTTTTCCAAACACATATAATCATCCACGTAAATTCATAACAACTTATCATATCATATCATTGATCGATCTGGAGTGAATCTATACATTTACGATTATTTGAGTTAATCAATCTAACAAAAAGCACATTAAATGTAACATAATTTTTCGTGACCTACTTGGACCAAACAATATTATAAATAAGTTTTAAATAATAATTGTTAAAATTGACCTCCAATGCATTTCTTATGCCACAGATATTTAATGTAATTTGAGTAACAATTTTATAAATCCATTTTAAGACGGATCCAGCAACATTTCACATAATATATATATATTTTTTTTATTTTTTTTTTGAGGGATCACATAATATAAATTAAAAGAAATAATGTGTGTGAAATTATTAGCCTAAAGCTATAGATAAATTAGATTTTGGGCCACAGAAATTGGTTTTGGGTAAAGGGTAACACACACTTTGGGTACATAATAATCGGGTTGAGGCCTTTGAGTGGGCTTTAGAGATTAGATCACTAATGATTAATAGGGGAAAAAAAGAACTAATTTAAAGTGTAATTTTTTTTAAGAGGAGTATCATTAGTCATTGCATGAAAATTGTATTAGAGAATCGTTACATCGCCCAATAATTGCTCCAATGATAGCCAATAGTTCATTAATTGGGACAAATGCATAGTTGATTGTGTTTTTGGTATTTTGTAGATTGTCGATGATTATAACATCTCTAATTTATTTTTTTCCAAACACATATAATCGTCCATGTAAATTCATAACAACTCATCATATCATATCATTGATTGATCTGGAGTGAATCTATACATTTACGATTATTTGAGTTAATCAATCTAACAAAAATCACATTAAATGTAACATAATTTTTCGTGATCAACTTAGATATTATAAATAAGTTTTAAACAATAATTGTTGAAATTGACCTCCAATACATTTCTTATACCACATATATTTAATGTAATTTGAGTAACAATTCTATAAATTCATTTTAAGACGAATCCAGCAACATTTTACATAATGTGTGTGAAATTATTAGCCTAAAGCTATAGATAATTATATTTTGGGCCACAGAAATTGGTTTTGGGTAAAGGGTAACACACACTTTGGGTACATAATAATTGGGTTGAGGCCTTTGAGTGGGCTTTAGAGATTAGATCACTCGTGAGTCCGCCCTATAATCCTGCTTACGCTGTATTATTGTACTATGACTCTACGACTACGAGTACTAGTCTACTTTTCCTAATACGCTTTTCCCAGAAACTGCACAAAGATTCCTTTCACCCAATCCAATTTCCATCTTATCACTCATCAGTCATCACCATATTTCTTTCTTTCGTCCTCTGGTTTTCTAATTTTCTAGGAGTATGTCCAATAATGTACTCCTTTCCTTCACATCTCTCTTCATTTATTTGTTTCCCTTTTAGCTACTAATTTCTCATTTGCCAAAAACAAGAGTTGGCGAGTTACCCATTAAGGCCATTATGGAGTGCAGAGTGTAATTTTTAACATAGTAAGAAATATTACGGAGTATTTTATTATATCGGTCCAAATTAAACATTAGTGAAAGTACGTGGTTCAAATAATAACAACGTGAGTTACACTTCAAGAAGAAAGAGAGAAAAGAAGAAGACACGTACAAAAGTACAAGTTTACAAGCCAAGGTAATTAGGACTAAAATTACACATCACTATCACCACGTAACAAAAGTGAGCATTCTTATTAGCTGGCTAAACTACACATTAACACACATACAAACAACTTAACCAAGAAAAAAACTGAGGAAATAATAACACAAAATAAGACTATAATTTCAAAGCAAAAGACTTTCATTTGTCCATTGATTCTTCATTTAGAGAGCAAATTAGACATACAAGAAACTGAGAAATAAAGAAAGAAAAAAGTAGCAAGATTTAAATTACTACTAATTCCCAAATATTCTTAATTATTTGTTAATCCTCTCTTCTAATGACAGAAAATGACTTTGAGCTCACGTGGGGCAGCACAGTCATGCATGAGCGAAGTGTCATGAGCATAAGTAAAGGAAGCAGGACAACCATGCTTGAAGTACTCTGAGTAAGATGACGCGTGACATGTTTTTGGGCTGTTATACTGATTCCTACAACAAAGTTGGTCAGTGTTAAAGGCTGCACATCCACTCTTGCAGCCCACAACCGGCCCATTACCATGTGGGCCTCTGAACTGAAGTTGTTCAGGGCACCCTTCTAGCAAGTTCTTCTTGCACCCCACCACAGGGCAAACTCCCTTGCCTTCGTGGGGGTTATGGTCATGGGCAGGTTGAACCCGTCAACAAGGCTCACTCCGTAAGCGGAGTGATCCCTGTTGCCGTGGTGGATGCTGAACTGGGCTAGTGTGGCGGGGATCTGCCCACCTAGCCCATTGCATTCTAGGCGGCTACCACAGTCTCCGGTTGCGCAACTGAAACGTCCGTTAGCGTAGGTGCACCCAGTTCTGCCCCAAATACGGCCAGCCCAGTGAGTGTTTGGGACTGGGAAGGAGCGGTGGGTTAGGGAGGAGAGGGGGAAACCACCTTTTTCAAGGACTGGGAAGCCATGGTTGGGTAGGATAGCTGGCCAGATTGTGAATGGGCAGTTGTTGACAACAGTAAGCATAAGCTCAGATTGGGCTTGGGCCAAGCTCAGGATGGCTAGGAAACAGAGGAGAGAGAGAGAAGAAATAAATGCCATTTTTTTGGTTTAGATTAGATATTGATTTGGATGAAATGAAAGTGTTTGAGGGTGGTATTTATAGGAGGGAGATATAAAGGTTGGAGCTTATGGTAAAAAAAATTAAAATATAAAAGTTTGGAAGGTGAAGGGATAACCTTGTAAGAATGTGTAAAAAAGACTTAAATAACCTTGCTAGGGTAACCTAGAAAAGAACTTTGTATAATTGCATCCACATGTAAATGACAGAGTTAAAGATGACAAAGACTGGTTTTGAGTTAATCCAAAACAACACACTGCAAAAGTTCAGGGTGCGTAGTTTCATCATCCAGGCAATTGATGAAGACTAAAGACAAACCAAGCTAATACGACATAACTTACTCCATATAGAGTTGAATAATACGGGTCATAGATTAGTGAGAAAGATATTTTCTTTTCTCTTCTTTTCTTTGAAATACTGCATCAATCAAACATTATCCAAAAGAAAACCATGTGTGTTTTGTAACATTATTGCTCTATAAACTTTGATGCCAAGTACTTAAATGAAAAGGTAGAGGAAAAAAAGTGAGTAAAACGGATTTAAGATTATGTTACAATATTGAATTAGGGATAAACTCTTACTACTCACGTAAAATGTGGCAATTAATTGAGGATATTCAAAATTAAACGTGATAACTAATTTAGAATTTAAAATTTAAATTATCTGTAGATCATAAATTGATAAGATCACTCCATATTCCCATTGGAAAAGAACATTGAGAATAAACCAATGGGCAAAACAACAAAAATGGTTTGGACTTTTTTTTTGAAAAAGCAATAAGTCTGATAAGTAAGCAAATCAGCCCACATTGATGGCGTTCATCTTCGGAACACAAGTTGGATTACATAAAGAAGACACTATTAAAATACCAGTAATTCATAAAGAAAGTTGCTAGTTTGAGTACTTCTATAGGTTAAAATAAGAGAGTACAATAAGCATTGAATTTTGAAGCCTTGAGTTCCGACAAAGAGCTTGGCGCTTAACTAGGGGAACCCCAAGTAATTCAATTTAATAAACTGTGGTAAATGGTATCGACCCATCCAATTACCCAACCCATTAATTAAGATTCGGTAAAATTCTGGAACATAGACTAGGAAGGAAAGAAACAGTGTCTTTGCAAATTGCAATAGCAAATTACAACATCCCTTTTCACTCGTGCAATACCCTAGATAAAAGAGCATCCAATGTTTAAACATCGAACACCCAAAAAAAAATATTCCTTAGGTTATTTATTGCAACCAAATAAAATGAGCAACATTGTACAGTACGAGCAACATAAAACAAATGGATGTAGGCCAATCAATGAATGAATGAAATGAGTTTTGAACTCAAATAAAGTATGATATCTAGCAACCCTACAAATTACACAACCGCATCCCCGCATTCAACAATAATTCTTTTTATTTCGGAAATAATGGTTTATAGCTAATGATAAGCGTATTGTAACAAAATGTCTTATTTTTAATTAGTTGATTATAGTTAAAATATATTCCAATAGAATAGAAAAGAAAAAAGTCGGAAAGTGACTTTAATCTTACTATTGTGCTTAATGCCTAAGGAAACCTTAAAACTTCTTAGGGGAGAGATTGAAAAGGCATGTTGTATAAATTAATTATTATTTGAGAAGGTAGAAGTTGGTACAAATAGCTTAATGTAAACTCCATACGTAGTACTCTACTACTCCGTATATAATTAGAGAAAGATCAATAGATTAACTTAAAATGGAGGGAAAACTATGAAATAATTTAGAGGTGGAAAGGAACAGAAAAGGGGACAAAAAGAGGCGAATATCCATGCAAAAAGATTCTTAAAAAAAATAAAATAAAAATGCATGAAAAAAAAGCAGACACACTTGTTTGAGGACGTGAGGTCCGAGGAAAATGATAAAAAGCACAAAGACATTAGCTATCCACGAAATACACATTGCCGACGTTGTTGTACGTGCTTTTGCTCTTGTCTGTCCTTTAAAAAAAAAAAGGAAAAACATATTGAGAGATGGATGTTTGATAGTGGGACCAGATTTGGAAGCCCATATCATAAAGGAGTCCAAACAGAAAGCGACTCGCTTTTTATGGATTGAGTAATGGAAAAGCCCAAGTAATATGTCCATTAAGCCACTTCATTGGGCCAATATCCAGTAAGAAGCTTAATTCAGATCATCAGATGTGCTGTATTTTAAAGGAGAAAGAGGGCTTAAGGCTCCTGAGGTCCTACGACTTCTACAGTTCTACCCATCAATCTATGGAATAGTCATGACCATTATCAAATGTTCTACAGAAGGATAGAGTACATGACTCATATAAAAGTAATAAACATATAGTTACAGTGAAAAGAACATACTATTAAAATGTAATGAACATATACCTAAAGTAAAAATAACATACTATTAAAATGTAATGAACATATACCTAGAGTGAAAAGAACATATTTGCACCAAAAAAATACATATATGTTTATGTTCATTGATCAGTCAGTGTAATGTACTTTATTTGCAACATAAAGATCATTGCTTAATGAGAAATGTTTATTAAATTTTGTCTTCAAATTAGGGTGGTTATATATAGATAAAGTTTATTACATAATATTATCATGTTCTTTATTAATATTGCAGATGTTCTTTAGATATGAAAAAAATATATAAAATTGAATGTTCGTTACAAAACAACTATATGTTCGTTACAAAACAACTGTATATTCTTTACAAAATAACTGTATGTTCTTTACAAAATAACTATATGCACCTTAAAATTTTCATACATGACTATATGATATTAGTACATTACTACGGAGTACATCATTAGTGGTAAAATGTAAGACTATTGTAGCAATTTTGAAATGGAGGGATTAGTATTTACTCGGCATAACAAAACAATTAGTTGAATAATTAGCTACAGCCTGTTTAGTACGAGTGGTTGACAAGCTTTGTTTGTTTTGAAGGAAAACAATTCATGGAAAAAAAATCAGTTTTCAATGGAAAACATAATTTAAAAGCAAATTTTCCTTTATTAATTTGCATTGAGGAAAACTTAAGGAGAAAAGGAAAAATGAATTAAAAGGAAAGGAAGGATGAGAGGAGAGTATAAGGAGAAGTAATGACTCATACCTTATTTTTCAAAGGAATACAATTTTTCTTTTCTAAATTGTTATTTTCCACCTATAAAAAATTGTTTTCCATCTCTTATCATAATAAACAAAAAAAAATGAAAAAGATGAAAGAAAATCATTTTTCAGGAAAATGTTTTCTAGCAAAACAAACAAAGCATAAATGACAATAAGGGAAATTTATTTTAGTTTATTTCGATAACGAAAGTATCAGTATATTGTAATATATTTGGGATTGCTATCTCATCCTCAAAATTGTATTTTAATTCATAAAAATTGCAAAATGGTAATTTAGATTTATGAAGAAAATAAAATACGAGGTTGATAAGCATATTACGTATTACGGAGTACAACACAAATTTATTCCTATTAACTCCATTATTGATTGATTAATCATGTATAAAGATCGAACGTATTTTCAACATAAAAACTAGTGTGTAGCCCGGACGTTGCACCAGTTGCTACTTTAATTAGATCTTTGTCATTATCAATATATACATTTATTTTCATGTTTATAACATAGCTTATGATTGACTTAGTATAGATAAGTTTACTAACCTATAGTTAAAATGAAATCATGTGCTATTTTGTGAAAAATGATCCTAAAGAGTAAGGACTAGTGGACTACATTATTTCTGGTTTGGGTCGAAGAGGCACTGCATTCAACATATTCTAACCACGGAGTATTAAACAGATAAACACTTTAAGGGAAAAAAAATATATATTAAACAGACGAAAAAAATATAGGCTGGGAAATCAAGCAAAGGATATAAAAAATGATTAATCAATAAATAAAGTTGGATGCATATCTATGATTATTGATTACTACAAGGACAAAAGGTTAAACTCTTTTAACTTTATTCTAAAAGCATGCATATGATAATTACAAGCTACACAACTATGTGTGCATTACTTAATACCGACAGCAATCATTACACTTTTGACTCTACAGAGGTAACTAGGGATATCATAAGTTGTTGTGTTGAAATCAATTGCCATCTTATAATTGGAGATTTATTACTTTAATCCAAATTCCACTTATTTCAACCCTAAAAGCCTTAAACTCTGGCTTTCACAGCTCCAGATCTGCTATTTATGAGAAAATTAACATTTTCTTGTTTGTACAGCAAAGTCTATTCCTCTAACATGCTAGACAACTAACACCAAAAAAATTTTAACCAACACGCCTTTATTAACCACCTTATAATTAGGTTTTAGTTGAGAGGGAGTCGATGGAAAGCACTATAGACTTTCAATACTTATTAGTTGTCTAACTATTAGGCAATTAGCCCGCAGTCTATATTTGTATAGAAATTCACATTTCTTCGTAATCGTAACTAAATACAACTGAACCAACATGACTAACTCAACTACAAAAGCAGAGGTTTAACCACCAGGTCCACCAGCAGAAGCAATTTACTTGACTATGCCATTTACAGGTGATGATATTTTATTGTAGCATGTAACGATTAACGGAACACTGGAACAGACTAGATGTAGCAGGACATTAAGCATGAGAGGTTACCTGAAAGTGCATACTTATTCTAGATCCAGATAACTGAGATTGCTGAATCTTTTAATGTGCCCCAAGATGATTCGAGTTGGTGTCTGCTGCATGGAGAATTAGAACCAATGTAAATCAGATGATATGATATCGAGCAAAAAGATAAAATGCAGGACAGCAATGTCTGCAAGTTTCTGAAAGCCCTGAAAATCAACTATATCGTTGCGGACTAGTGTTAGTCATACTCATCCCACATATTTCATTGTGATCATGAATTCATGAGCAAGCAAAAATAAGGGGTGGGTGCTTAACCAAAAAAGATTGCTACTTTATCAGATTCAACAGAACACATGATAACAGATAATGGGCAGCTAGCTCAGTGAGGGGAAAAAAGTGGGCAAATAGTTTTAAAAAAGAGGCAACTGGCAACATCTGCCCACTTCACATTCTCACATTCTGTTGCACCATCATTTTGTCAGGAAATCACTAAAATGCTCACTACTTCATCAGAGTTGCTGCACCTGGTAGTGCCTCTGTAGACACTAGTGGGTCCCAGAATCCATGGCAACAACATTGTTTTGGGCGCCAAAAAAATCTTTCAAAAGAAATGGAACTAAAACCCAGAATCAAACAAATTACTATCATGGAAGCAATCATAACCAAGAAGAAGTCAACTCACAAAATGGTCATCCTGTCATTTCATGCCTTCAACATGTAAAGGCATAGGATTCCCAGACAGCAAGAGCAACAACCTACATAGTTTCAAGTTGTGCAATGATTACCGAATATGTATTAGTATTGTAAAAGCCTCCCTGCATCTTCCAAGTTCATTCACTTCAACCTCACAAATTACAATAACTTATACTAGAGATGGCAAGAAGGCATATACTCATCCTCCTCCTCTTAGCATGGTTTCTCTTTGCGGCTTTTCAATCCAATCGCCCATTTATCAAGGATCAAGCTACTAAATCAGGCAAGCTACTGCTAATCTCTCCTATTAATCAAACTTTAGAAGATAATATTCATATTGGATAGTGCAAATTGCTAAAGCAAAACACATACTTCTATTCTGTTTAAAAGGGACACACTGATATACAAACCATGAAGGAATTACCTTTTTCTTTTCTTTTTTTTCTTGCAGTCAATTTCAAGCTACGATCTTTACAGTCCAGCTCATTGTGGCCAACCAAACATCATATTCCTGCTTGGGTAGGTGCTGAAATGTACCTTCATTATGATAAACAGATAATTCAAGGTAAACCATCATCATTTAAAGATTTATAAGCACTTGTCTAACCAATTGAAGTTTGTTGTGGCAGGATGACCTGAAAAAAATCCATAAATCTCCATCTGGGCCAAATCCAGTAGGAAACCACCGCCCACCAACAAGACCGTGAAAGAATGCATATGATTATGCAAGAAGAGTGAAGCTGACAATGCAGGAGCATCTATTTGTAAGATGAGAATTAGGATATCATGGATGTACAAATATGCAAAAGTATTTAGAGTCTCGATTCCATTTTCTTTCCTTGTTGTAGCCTTACTTCAACTCCCACTGGATAGTGCATGTATTTACTTTCAGAATAATGTTTCATAGCAAATAACTGGTTTGCTCGGGGAAGGGGGTGGGGGAACAAATAATAATATAAATTTTACCCTACATAAAAATCAGCGTTTCATGGCTTTAAACAAAATTAGAAGCAAATTTAATAGCACAGAAGTACACACTGGTGTTAGATTCACTAAATTCCAAGCAGAAATAAATAAGATCTGTGCAATTACCTCAACAAGTTGATACTGCCCAACCCTGCTAGATTTAGGCATGTGCTGTATGCTTGAAAAATGAAAATCAGACCAAACATACAAGGTGGAAACACAATAGATACTTCGTAAGTAAATTGAATTAGATAGATAACCAAAGATCATACATACAGAGCCGTCAGTATGTTTTATAAAGATAGGGGTGAAAATACTGATAGGAGGCTCTGGCTACACTTCAACTCAGCTAGAATAAAAGTACAACTCAGTGGACTACCAACAATCCAGACATTACTCTTCAGAATGGAGTCCAGCCAGCAAAGAATCAACAAAACCAGAATATCTGCTAGAATGAGCTCATGTAAAATCTGGGCACTACAAACCTTCTATTACATAAAACTGCACAAGAAAACAATGACAATAGGGTGTACGAGGATGGTTGCTTTAATTCTAATTTAATATTGTAACATTTTAGTTTTACAAAAATGTGGTCAGCCCAAAATACATGCAAAAGGGCAATGGTGAATAAAAAGTGGAAACAAACAAGCCATTTAAACGGCAACTATGACACTGACTAGGGTATGATTTCAGTAAATATACAAAACTAAATAGTAACTAAATACACTAAAACAATTAACCCACACGCTTCCGCTTTGATCGCTTACTCTTCTTTGGAGTGGAATACTTGGGAATCTGCTTGCTGCTACTTGATGCATATGCCTCTTCTAATTCATCCTGTCAAAACACGCTCACAAGAATGAATCATCCGCATTAAACTACCAAGTTAGCACTTTTATATCAATTACCTGACTCTTGAAGTACAGCTGAATAATGGAAACATGAAAATTTTTCAAACAAGGGAATTGATTTTAAATACCAATAATCAGAGAGCTTCAGGTCAAAGGAATAATATTCAAGCCATTATAGCACCAAGATGATGTTACACTCCTAAATTTTATACAGAAATCCACTACAAAACAAAAGAACAGTGGCTCACACATACATTCCCCTTGAGCACAAGATGCACAATGGCACTCAAGAAAATAAGAACTACAGGTCTCTATCCTTTGGAGACATAATTTAACACAGTAATTTGATTAGTCGAGGAAAATATACACATAACAGTTCTTTGACATGCAACAAGCACTTTCTATACAAATAAACACTGCAACACATCAATGCATTTACACAAAAGAGTAAAACTATCTCCAGTGCTAATCACTGATGTGTGGAACAAAAAGATAATTACCAAGCCAACTGTAAGGCCTTTCATTTGTTACACTAAAAGTGATAGTTTCATAAAACTAACATACCATAAGATAGGTATGGTTCCAGAATGAGCAGAATCCACTTCATAACCATCAGTCGTAAAAATACTAATTAAGAAATGTTTAAAAGTTTAAACAACACATGCCTTATTAGCAATCAACTGGCTTCAAAACTTTAAACATCTTCTAATACAAATGACTCAAAATCAATTCAAGTTTGATGTAATACATTAATTATATATCATTCTATACCATGGCCACACAACAACATATGCACCAAGTTAGATGAGCAGTCCAAGTCCCCACAAACATGAACAGCATAGTATTATACACGAAGAAATGTTATCTCCTAACACTAGCATGCCAAGGGTCAGGACTGCCACCAACATAAAGCTTTCTGAGAATTTAGCAAACAGTTAAAGACTCTCAGCCTCAGTGACATCTGTTCATATATGATACATCCATGGTCAGTTACTTACTGTTTCTTTCGATTCATCATCTGACCCTATTTCAGAATCAGTAACAGATGCCTGATCATCTGGCAGTGCTTTGCTCACTTCTTGCCTTCTCACTTCTCCTTTGAATTGTCTAGACCTATTTTAGATATAAGAGGAATATTAGGTTAGCTGTCAAGAGAAACACAAAAATACGAAAGCTATAACATCTGAAAATGATTCAAACCTGTCGTCAATTTGAGCAGGTTGGGATACAGACCGCTTTGCCTTTCCAGCACTAATAATTCCACCGGCGTTCTCATTCACAACAGGCTTAGCACCACCAAATTTGCGTAACCATACCTGCTGTGCAGTACTGAGGACATTATTTGTAAACCTGTCAACCAAAATTATATAGTTTAGAGGATGTGTCGTTTACGATAAAGTATATTTGACATTCCTTTGTACTGTTGACTATAGTTCAAGTCATGGAACAAAAACAAGTCTGATAAACTTCCTAGCACTGATTTTAACTAAAGAAATATAAGTTTCATCATGATTTAATAGGGGAATATTCCTCCAAAACTATGAACTATTATACATGATAGTATGATAACATTATAATGCTGCCAGTGCAGGTATATGCGAGTAGTATGAGATGCTACAGCAATTAAGATAATTGGGAAAGGAAAGAAGGAATTGGGAACAGACCAATAGATGGATAATCCGGATGGGACGGATAAGGAAAAATAGCCAATCATAAGAGGAAGGAACTTCAGAACGAGAAGTGAATTCTTCTGAGACGGGTCAGTCTGTCCAAGAATATCTTTCAGCAATTATTAACATTAATTTATTTTTAAAAAAATAATAAAAGAAAATAAAAAAAGAAAAGTGAAGGATAAAAACAGAAGATATATCATTACTTGGGGAGGCTTCATCAACTCCATCGAAACATATTGCGAGACAACTAGCAGAACGGGCAGAACAAGATAGGCTGCAGTATCACTCCAGCCAATAGGGGGGTGACCATCCTGCAAGTTGACATGAAAAGATTGTGATTCACAAGACCATAAACAAATTCAGCACTCATAAGATGTATAAGTATATATCCTTTAGAACATGACATGAAAATATAAGTCAATGAGTAACAAACAAGAACCCAAGCTTATATTATAAGAAAGAAGACAAACAAAAAAGCAGATAAGCAAGCAGCAATGACTCAAAGAGAAAAAGGAAAATGAAGGGAGCTAAGGACAGACTTTCTGAATGATTTGTGGCCAGCAGCTCAGATGTTAGACTGGCCAGCTAGAATATGAGTGAAAGATGATTAATTTGCTGCTGAAGCTATTACAATGACGAAGAAATTATTAAAAATAAAAAATAAATAAATAAATAAATAAAAAGAGTGACTTATGCAAGTGATGAACAACCCAGAGTAAAAAGCTAAAATACAAAGTAACAGCTCCATTGCTGTAGGATTGGTATGCAAATAGATCAATTCAAGGATGGATAAGGAGTTGCAAATAGATTGAAGAAGTGCTGCAAGGTTCGCCCCCATGGCTTGGAGGTTTGACTGAACTCGAAGTTGGAAATTTGGCTCAAACTCACTGCCTGAAAGTTTGGCCGAAGTGCCGAACCTCAAGAGGAGTTCACCCGAATCACCAAAGGTTTGCCTGAACCAGGGAATGGTTCACCCGAACCTCATGACCCTGTTTTGCGGCTCGGTTCATCGGGTTTGCGGTTTGTTTTAATCTTAGCCGTTGGATTGTTTCTTAATCCTGAGACTATATTGCCTTAGCCCACTTTTATTGAGTATTCACAAACAATTAAACGTTACTTGAGGGTTTATGAGAGGCTTTGTGAAGAGCATTGACATTTCCTACAACTCATGCTTGTATTCTTGATTTTGCTCCCGGTTCTCGTGTTTTCCCACGGTAACATCATCTCCTTTAATTTGCTTTTTTATTCATTGCTTGTTCTGGGTTGATTGTTTGCTTTCTTCATTGTTGTTGTGGGTGTCAATCGCAATTAGTTTCCACATAAAATCATTAAAATCACAATCCAACCTCTCTGATCCAAAATCAGTCATTTCAATGCCTCCCACTCCATTCCCTTGTATATTATCTACATTTTACCATCCAGATTCACTAACAATTGTGCCATTCCATAGAATGTAACTAACTGAAACATTTTGACCTCCTTTATAATAATATCATCCTCTACATTTTTACAAATCCCTTTAAATAAAATTCAAACCATACAGATAAAAAATCAATCTCTACAGCAAATCCATGTCATTTCTCTCCACCAAGAAAAATGAAATCTCCAGGGGGTCTAAAGACAAGTTATAAAAGATGAAAGGTTCTTGTTGATTTTACAAGGATATGGCCACGATTGGCAAATGATAGTGGCCATTTCAAGCCTAAAACAGAAAAACATTTAGAAATATACACACATACATTCTGATCACAGACTGAAGACCTCTCATTAAGAATTATCTTTCATCACATCAGGTTCGGCTCCAGACATTTCTACTGTGACCCAATTTTCCTTCAGTTTTTCTTCAAAGTTTTACACTTCAACCAACTTCAAAGTGATAATAGCTAAACTTTAACACCTTGTTTGGATAGAAGGAAAAGAAGAGAGGAGAATGGGAGGGGGACAAACTCTCTTGTTTGAGTAAAGGATTGAGGGAAGGAAGGGAAAAGAGAGGGAGGGATCCATTTTCCCTCTCTCTTTAATAAGCATAATCCCTCCAAATTTGGAGAGATTTGGAGGGAAAATGGGGTTCACCTCCCCCTCCCTTTCTTTCCCCTTCCCTTCCTCCTATTTCCCTCCCCTTCCTTTCCTTCCTTATTTGCTATCCAAACAAAGCGTAAAACTATTATGGACCCAATATAGACCTTAATTGACAGTAATTGAATCTAGCTTAAGAATACACAAAGTATTCTTACACTCAACTCCCAGATTTACTAGTTGCAAAAAATATTCTACGAAAAAAAATATCAACATATTCGCCCATCTAAAAAGTTGTAGTCTCCTCAAAAAAGTACAAACCCTATTTAAAGTGGGCTTTGTAAAGGGGAGGCACTACAATCTAAACCAATAAAACAATAACCAAGCACTTAATAATCTAGGCATTTAACCAAAATAGTCAAATCATGTCCTTGGCAATTTAGAAGCACATAAAACATAGTCCAAGTAAAATGATTAAAAATTGCAATCTTAGTCTAATTCAAAAGTATCAAGCAAGTAAAAAATTAGCAAATGATGTTCATTGAAGAATTAAACATGACAGAGAAGAGATTATTGCTAGAACAAGTTCACTAGTTTCAAGGCTAAAGTACCACAAAAGGAAAGAGCCAGGAGATGCCGGCACCACTTTGGCGTGCAGCAATTGTAGTTGGCCCGCCCAAAGAAGGAATCCAAAAAAACCCTTCTGTCAACAGTCCCTTCAAGTACAAAAGTTCAGATGACCAGTTAATACTTAAATGCAAAAGTGAGTATTTGAGTTTACTTTTAAAAGGAAATCTATCAGCACATAGCTCGCTAAATACCTCATTAGCTACATTCGAAAGAGCTTGATACAATCCTATCCAGACTGGTATTGTTGCCAAAGTTGGTAAGCACCCTGTCAAATGTGAATGTAGGAGAAACAAAGACATCAGTACATCTTCCGTACCATAAAAACAGATGGTAACAAGAGAAAGTTAAGATGATAAAAGTTTTAAGTTTAAGCAGTATTTGGTTAGCAGTCATTATAAAGAATTTTGGGAATTTTGCCAAAGTTCCTGACCATAATATACCTCACAGTCACAGTCAATATATAACTGCAGACCATGGCAATCACCAAGCTATAAGATACAGCAGATAAGATTGCGTGATTGCCACTATATTTGAAAAAAATACTATGTATAATAATTGAGTTGAATTGACCAGGGACAAACACAATCAGGGAACTCGGGAAGCATACAACGTTTAAGTTGCTCAACATAATCCACATAGTAGTCTAGTGGAGGACCAACTAAGAGAATGGGCCAGCTAAGACACAAGACAAACCAGAAAGATGCCAGTAGGACAACCTACTCAAATTCAGACCATATATCCAGGACCAAGTACAAGATTGAAGGAAGTCAGAAGGTGAGCTGCTCCAATTAATTCAGATCTTCTTCCAGACTTAAGGTTCCCTACCCATTCTAAAAGAAAAAATAAAATTAAAAGGCATGTCGAACTAGAACCAGTAAGTCAGCATTCAATTAACCTCTTAGATTGTTAGTTTCCATCGTTCTTTCCAAATTATATTCCTCCTGTTATTGGCTACATTTAGTACAAATAAATTTGCATGGTAAGAGACTGGATTCACTGGAGCTATAATTATCTATTAACAATTTTTTCTTACCAAATAGAATAATGGATGTTAAATAAAATTGGCTGAGCTAAAAAGAAAAAGCTTTCATTGTTGACTCTTCCAACTACGTAACGAGTTGTGTAGTAGATCATATGCTAAGACTAATATGCTACCTTTTACAATTAGCAGCATAAAAAAAAAAATAAAAAAAAAATAAAAAAAAAAAAACCAAGAAAAGAAAGCTTATCCTTTATTTTCATAATAGCATATAGATGATATAACAAAGTTGGAATACAGATTTGAAGCTTGTGTGTGTGTTTATAATCGTCATGTTAAAAAGGGTTGTGAAAATCTAAGCCTAGCTACAAACAAAATGGTTGTTTCCAATAATGTACTATTTCTTGAAAAGCAACTTCCATTTCATTCCTCATCCCATCTACCTATTACTCTATACTAAGGCCATGCTTGGATTGGGGGCAAAAAATAAAAAGGGAATAAAAGTCAAGCTAAGAAAAACATAAGTGATTAGAGGTGGTGTTGTAGGGAGATAAGTTGTAAATGAAATAAGGTATTTGTGCCATAAGGAAAAGAGAGAGAAGGAGGAATCATTATCCTCATAATGAGTATAATAGTTACCCACCCTCTCCCTAGTGTAACCGTTACCCCCAAAATGAGGATAATAGACCTAATAGTTCCCATATCACCATTACATAAAACTCCTTCCGGTCACTCCATCACTATCTACTCCTCCCCTATATTAACATTCATTTTGTTTAGTTTGACTTTTATTACCCTAGTAACACATTAGTCCCAAGTCCCAACCCAAGCATGCCCTAAATTGGAATTTTCCCTCCTAAACTTTTTTTTTTTTTTTTGGGGGGGGGGGGGGGGTAGAAGCATAATGCCTAGGATATTCATCATATTTATTTATTGTTATAATTTTTTTAAGAATATTAGAATTGACCATTGGGCATATTTCTCTAGAAACTTTTACATTTTAATCATCAATAATTTTAAAAAACCGAGCATGGCTCGGGATTTATCTAGTTCTTATTCTAATTCAATCAAATTACTTTACATCCTCATTCCTCGCCAAATAAAAGTGAAAATATAAAGTAACAACTGATGGAGTTAACAAGTTTGGAAGTAAATAAAATACTCCAGATATGAATTCATAAGAGAAGATTCACCTGCCAATGGATTGACCCCAGCCTGCTTGTAAAGACGTGATGTCTCAAGTTGAATTCTTTCCTGAAAAAATAAAAAACAAATAGCCTCATCAAAACATGTTCCTACATGACAATAAGGCAAAATAATAGAATTGTATTGCTTTGGCAATATATGACAAGCACACTGCACACCAAATGCAGCCATGCAGGGCGAAGCCGGGAATAAAAATCTATGGGGGCCAAGACTCAATAAAGTTAACCCAAAAAAAAATTAAAAAACAAAAAAAAATGAAGGGAGAAAAAATGCGCTCAAAGTAGGAGTCAAACTTGAGACCTCTCTCACCATGCAAAGCTCAAACTACCTACTAAGCTATCATTGGCAAGTGGCAACATAGTATATGAGATAAATATTTGCTATTTATTAGTTACTCCTCGAGGAAGACAAATAATACATTTATCACCAGTTGGGCCACTGGGGCCAGGCCTCCAACAGCCCCCCCCCCCCCGGCTCCGCCCCTAACCAAATGTATTGCATAAGTTCCCCGCTTTGATTATTCAGATTGATAGATCCTTAATCTCTTATAAAAGTAAAACTTGATAAAGGGTGCAATAACATCAGAAAACATATGTAATCACAGAAGAACTTTTAATGCTGCACTACGAGCAACACATGAAAGTTCCGAAACCAGCTCAAGCAACAACCAATATAGAGTATTAAAAATAGTACAATACGGCGAAAGGCTAACCACCTGATTTCCTTTGTATCTTTCTTGTATGGCTTTTATCTTTGGTTGGAGATTTTGCATTGCCATCGTTGATTCAACCTGTAAACAAGAGAGATGTCAACAAGCCATCCACTTTTATAAAAGCACCAAGCAATTCAGGTTATTCAGATTTCAGTCTGATCACACTGTCCTAGTTTCAACTGGGAAGCTTCCTAAGTTTGTATTTGACTTTCTCCCTTTGAGAGAATTGGGAAGCTGAAACAGACATCTGTGTATATTTATGCAGATGCATATGCTGCATAGGCATACACTCAATTATAAAGGGGGTTTCAAACTTGACGGGTTGACGCCATGCCAATATCTGTACCAGAGATCAATGAGTAGGATTCTTTGAACGTGCAAAACTATGTCGAAATTATGCAATAGGTCAAGATATTTGAAGGACAAGATATGTGTTGTACACTCATTTTGAACAGCCTTTTCAGAAGCAAGTCATTGGTTCCAATTAAGATGTGCAGAGGGAGAATCTGGAGTGAAGCACAAACCTGTTGCTTTGTCAAAGGAAAAGTTGCTACTTTCACGAGGACGGTAAGTAATATGATTGCAAATCCATATGAATAAGGCACATGTAAAGTTGAGAGCCCATCCTTCATAACCTATCCAATAAAAAAAATAAAAATAAAGTCATGGTTCACAATTTAAATACATGTGCATATTTTAAATAACAAGTTATACAACAACAATCAACTAATGAACTTTACACAATACCAATTTTGTAAAGGTCATGTAATACACAACTTGCCTTAAACACCAAACAAACTAAAAAATTGCGTTACCAATAAGAACCATTATATCATAACCTTTAATTCCCAGGGTATGCCATACTCATGATTTTCTTGTGTAAACCCTTTTCTTTTACGCTTATGGCAATAAATTCCAGGATACTGAATTCATTAATGTCCTTTTGTAGCTCTTCCATCCATGCCATCCTTCCAGGAACGTTTGTTCAGGATCACAGGACGGGCTAGGGTCCCGTTGAATTATACCCAAGGCAAACCCATAGAATAACCCCTTTATCAAAAATGACCTAATAAGTAGTAGAATCTACAAGTGAGGAAGTAATAAGCTGTGAAAGCGGTAGCGGACGGCAATAGATGATTCAGGCCTGCCTTACTTAGAGTTGCCAGAGTACAATAAACAAAAATCCTCAACTCCTTTTAATATCTATATGATCCCAACACTTCATTCTCCGGACCAATACCTCCTGGTATAGTGGCATTAACATCGAACATGTACAAACCATCGCTATAGGTGTCCTTCACCTTATGCTCAATAGCCTCAACTTCCACTCTAACCCTATCGTGAATATCTTCATCACAAATCCTATTTCACCTCGCTTCACAAATATCACAACACATTCCACCTCCATCGAGTCCATCCACTCATCAACGAAATTTTGTTATTATGACATAAGACTATACATGTGAACAATATCATAACTAGCCGTAAATCAACATACATCTAATTTTCTAAACAAACTAACGTCCAGATTTCCAAACTTCAACCTTAATATGTCAAAATCACAAGAAAATTTTCCTAAACATCTGAAATCAAACCTTCCAAAACTTCATATGACCGCAGAATAATCTTTTATTAATTACTAACTAATCCGCCAATTACTAAAATCAAGCAACACCTTATGATTATTAGCTAGTAAAACAACAAGACTATATTGTAATCAAAATCAATTGAATAAACATCGAAAATTCTTATTATATATCCTAATTCAATTACTTAATCAGCACCTTTGCTAGGCAATTCAACAATTTCACACATCAAAAACAAAATCATACATAATCAATTATACGTATAATTTTGCACAACAAAACATAACAATTACAAAATCCATACTACTAGCTAGTAAAATCAATTGTAAAACCATCGAAAATGCTTATTATATATCCTAATTAATTACTTAATCAGCACTTTTGCAAGGCAATTCAACAATTTCACAAATCAAAAACAAAATCATACATAATCAATTTATACGTATAATTTCGCACAAGAATTACAAAATTCATACAAACAATTGAATATACCTTCAAAACGACTTCCATGGCGTCGGAAATAAACCCGAACCATCCACCACTTTTCTGCACCGGAGCTCCAGAAGCGTCAGGAGAAGCAGTAACAGCAGCATCAGCAAGAGTATAAATAAGACTTTCAGCTCTACTAAAAACCGCACTCAAATCAATCGAACTATCAATCGAAGAAATTGGAGGAATTTCCTGGAAACTGAACTTCACAGTTGTACTGATAATTTTGCTTCGATGAGGAAGAGAGTAGATGCCATGACGATAAGATTTCGAAGGTAATACAGTTCCGAAAAATGGCGAGGATGAAATTAGGGTTCTCGCCATTAGAGGAGATAGAATGAAGGAAGTATTCAATTGATCATGAGATATTGAGATGATGAGAGAGAAAATGGGAACTTGGGTTGGATTGTGTTTCAGTGTGTATTGGGAAGAGGTGGTGGTGGTGGAAGAAGGGCTGCTATTCGTTGTTTTTTATTTCTACGCATTATCCGATTTGATGAAATTATGGAATTTGGAGGGGGATTTTTTTAATTGTGGCCAATGATTGAGTGACACGTTTGTTATTAGTATTTTAATGTTGAGCACTTACTAATGTCACTCGCTTTCTCTCCCAATTAATGGTAGGTATTCTATGATCCACGAATGCACTAAGGGCTAGTTAATACGAGTAATGAATTGAGATCATGGGGATTGAATTTGCCAATTCTAAAATTAGTAGATTCAGAATTAGAAAAAATTGTCCAAAATAATCCAACTTTTGGCTCATACGCCCCAAAAAATCTCAACTTTCGATTATTTAAAATAATTCGACTATTAATGTCAATCCGCTTTAAATGGTCCCAATCGGTTACCTAACTTGTTATAATCAGTTAGATGACACGTGTCGGCCTGTAATTGGCCAAAGTTTTTAAAAATAAATAAATAATTTTTTTAAAAGAAAAAAGTTTTTTAAAAAAATAATTATTAAAAAAAACAATCCCACCAGCCACCTCCGCCCATCCCCGCCGACCAGCCTGCCTAACTCCCCACCGCCATGGATCCGATCGCCGGTGGCCCATTCCCCAGCGACGTCGCCCCCTTACCCTCCCTCGAACCACCAACCCCTTCCCTCTCCCACGAAATCCACTAAAATCACCCCACCCTCGAAATCCCCTTCCCATCTTGATCTCAGGCTCCTATTCTTCTCCAGTCTCGATATCAGTTTCCCTCCCTTTCCCCGCCTCCAGTTCGTCCTCCCTCACCTTCCCCCGCCTAGATTTCGAGTGTGAATTGTAGAGCCACCACATCCACAATAGCGTCGACATTGCGGTGGCTGGGGCTGCAATTCGACAATAGTGGTTGGGGCTACAATTCGGTGGCAGTGGTTCGCTTTGCAATCCGGCGATGGTTGGCTGCAATTTGGCAGTGGTTGGGCTACAATTTGCGGGTGGCTTGAGACCATTTAAAGCGGATTGACATTAAAAGTCGAATTATTTAAAAATAATTGATAGGTGAGATTATTTTGGGCGGATGAGCCAATTTAAAGGTCGGATTATTTCGGACAATTTTTCCTTTAAATTATTGATAAATTTTATTTACACTCTATAATAAAGTAGTGGTTTAATATCTTATAATTCATTGTGTAGGTTGTAATATAGACTAAATAAATTATACTTGCAGATTACTAGAGCAATCCGGCCACATATCCAAATTCAACTGACAAGTAAAAGAAAATATCTGCAAAACCTACAAATGATCTATGAATTGCTACCATTATCGAGAAATAACAAAGGAAAACCACCGTTATTCTTAAAGTCTTTAAGAAGGAGTTTGATGGCATAAATAACCTAGAGAATGGGAGTACACAAAGTGAATGTTATGGGTTTATGTAGTCGACTCCATTTATGAAATTAAGACTCTAATTGATTGATTGATAGATATGCAATGTTTTTTTTTTCTTTTTTTTTATGGTGAAAAAACTCTTTTTTGTTGTGTTACTATAAGCCTGAGAATCCAAGGGAAATGTCTTTTAATCTATGAACATAACTAGTGCATGTTTGGTACAAAAAATATGAAAAGTGGTTGATAGTGTCAATTAAAAGTCATTTTTAAAAAAAATTAATTACTGAAAAGTAACACTTAAAGTTTTGAACTTTGACCTATTTATTTGCAATGGTGCCAAAAAAATGGGGATAGAGCCATAAAGGGGGTATTTTTTTTATTTTTTGTTTACAAAGCCATATAGGCTGGTGATGAGAATCAATTCCAAGATATCTTGAAACCGGTTAAGATATCTATTATTTATAACAATCCTGTAAGCTTGTTACTTGTCATTTTGGCCGTGGTTGGTAAAAGAGCCACAAGGGTGGGGATGAAAATCGATTCCAGAATTTCTTAGAACCAAGAGGAAAACTTTAACCACTCGAGTTATACCTCACTTTCATGATATTCGATTATTCGCTAGCTCTTTTCATATTTTCAACCTTTATCATGTACATAGATTTGTAGAGCAGGAAATACAGTAGTCCATCTTATAGCAAGATGGGATATTCATAATTGTTCAGAGCTTATTTTTATTGACATTATTCAACAAGGTGGTTTACCCTAGGCGGAATTTGATTTGAATTAAAATCCCTCCTAATGTTTTCCCCAAAAAAAAACATTACTCTGTATTATATTTTAAATTTTAAAAAAAATTCCAGGCTGTAATAAAAATGGTTTCATATTAAAGCAAGCGTCATGTTGGACCTACAAAAACGAGGTTAATTTTGACCAAAAACAAAATAACCCAGTTAAATCTGCTTGAGTATTATCTAGAACTTCCTCCTCATTGGCTTGATCCCAAGGGGAAAATTTCGAACCAACTAACCAACCCAACGTAATAAAAGTATGTAATATCCACGAGTCCAACTTAAAAATAGTAGATCTAAATCCAACGGCTCACCTTTCTCCGACCAAATCGAAAAACACAAAACCCCTAAAACACCCCAAGTCAGAATTTTCTCGAATCCAAATTTTTCGCCCATTAAAAACGAGAAACCAAAAAAAAAAACACAAAAAACACAAAAAAGCGGGAAACCCTTCAAATGACAGATGGAAGTAGATAAGAGGGTTTAGGATTTACGAACGAACCAGAACCTTCTCGAAATGATCTTTTAGTCTTATATAAAAAAAATTCCCCTTTTCATGTCTTTCATTCTCATTCAAATTTTTTCACAGCTTACAAAAAAAAAAAAAAAATCCTACGCTCTCAAAACCCCCCCCCCCCAAAAAAAAGGAAAAGCTTCTCTATTTGTTTGAGTTTTGCTAGGGTCACAGAAATGTCGTCTGGAAAGGGTGAAGGTCCGGCGATCGGAATCGATCTCGGCACGACATACTCGTGTGTTGGAGTATGGCAGCACGATCGTGTTGAGATCATTGCGAATGATCAAGGAAATCGAACGACGCCGTCTTATGTTGCTTTTACTGATACTGAGCGTTTGATTGGGGATGCTGCTAAGAATCAGGTCGCCATGAATCCTACTAACACTGTTTTCGGTATGTTTTCTTTTCCTCTCTGTTATTTGATGATTTATTTTTTATGATCATGCATGTAATTACTCGCTTTTATGTTAGGGTTATTGTTGTGTATGTTATTTTGTGTTGATTATATGGTTAAACATGATTTTTAGGAGTTGATTTAGTTTATATAAATGTTTGGTAGATTGTTTGATGATTATGCTTATGGATCATGGCACTTTATGTTTCTGTTGAGAATTTGAATACGAGTTTGTGAATTTATGTTATTTTTTGATACATTTGTTTAGATTATTCGGAATTCTGTATTTTAATAATTCAATCAATGTATAATGAGGCTTAGATCGGTGTTATCAGTCGCATAAGATTTAGGGTTTTGTGCAAATTGCAGTTTGTTTGATTTTTATTGAAATTATGTGTTGATTAATTGGTTAATTTACTTAATTATGATCAGTATGAGTTAGCTAAGTGCAAGAGAACAATGTTTGAAAATTGTTGGTGGTTTTATTTCTGGATCCTGACAATCTATGTTTTTGTATAGAATTTGACTACGAGTTAGTGAATGTTTTATTATTTTATTTAACAGAGTATTATCAGGTATCATGAATCACAGTTTTGATTGGTGCTAATAATTAGATGATGTTTAGGGTTTTTGTGTGAATTGCATTTGATCCAAATATGTTAATAATTAATTTATTTAACTGAATATTATATTCAGATCATACAAAGTAATTTATTTGAAATGTCAGACAATTACTAGAACTCTTCTTGTTTTTGTAGCTTTAATTAATATATTATGAATTTTAGATATACTTTATATTGCATGTGTTTGTGTAATCCATTTTTGTTCTGCCTGTGCTTGTATATATTCTGGAGGGTAAATTTCTGATAAAATATTTGTAATTTTGATCGTTTTAGATGCTAAGCGATTGATTGGAAGGAGATTTAGTGATCCATCAGTGCAAGCTGATATGAAGTTATGGCCATTCAAGGTAATTGCTGGCCCAGCTGACAAGCCCATGATTGTTGTCAATCACAAGGGTGAGGAGAAGCAATTCTCTGCTGAAGAAATTTCATCTATGGTCCTAACAAAAATGAAGGAAATCGCCGAAGCGTTCCTTGGTACTTCCATTAAGAATGCCGTGGTCACAGTCCCGGCTTACTTTAATGACTCCCAACGTCAAGCCACCAAGGATGCTGGTGTGATCTCTGGGCTCAATGTCATGCGTATCATTAACGAGCCGACTGCTGCTGCCATTGCATATGGTCTTGACAAGAAGGCTAGCAGTAGTGGGGAAAAGAATGTGTTGATCTTTGATCTTGGAGGTGGTACTTTTGATGTGTCATTGTTGACTATTGAAGAAGGGATTTTTGAGGTTAAGGCAACTGCTGGTGACACTCACCTTGGTGGTGAGGATTTTGATAACAGGATGGTGAATCACTTTGTGCAAGAGTTTAAGAGGAAGCACAAGAAGGATATTAGTGGTAACCCGAGGTCTTTGAGAAGGTTGAGGACAGCTTGTGAAAGGGCGAAGAGGACTTTGTCATCAACTGCTCAGACCACCATTGAGATCGATTCTCTTTACGAGGGAGTTGATTTCTACACCACCATTACTCGTGCTCGTTTTGAGGAGTTGAACATGGATCTGTTCAGGAAGTGTATGGAGCCAGTTGAGAAGTGTTTGAGGGATGCCAAGATGGATAAGACTAAGGTAGATGATGTTGTGCTTGTTGGTGGTTCTACTAGGATTCCAAAGGTTCAACAGTTGCTCCAGGATTTCTTCAACGGGAAGGAGCTCTGCAAGAGCATTAACCCTGATGAAGCTGTTGCTTATGGTGCAGCTGTTCAGGCTGCAATTTTGAGCGGTGAAGGTAATGAGAAAGTGCAGGACTTGTTGTTGCTTGATGTTACTCCTCTGTCTCTTGGGTTGGAGACTGCTGGTGGTGTTATGACAGTGCTCATCCCAAGAAACACTACAATCCCCACAAAGAAGGAACAGGTGTTTTCGACATACTCAGACAACCAACCGGGTGTGTTGATTCAGGTCTTTGAAGGAGAGAGAACCAGAACTCGGGATAACAACCTATTGGGCAAGTTTGAGCTCACTGGCATTCCTCCTGCACCAAGAGGTGTGCCTCAGATCAATGTCTGTTTCGACATTGATGCCAATGGTATTCTTAATGTCTCTGCCGAGGACAAGACTACTGGCCAGAAGAACAAGATCACAATTACAAATGACAAAGGTAGACTGTCCAAGGAAGAGATAGAGAGAATGGTGCAAGAGGCCGAGAAATACAAGTCAGAAGATGAAGAGCACAAGAAGAAGGTTGAAGCCAAGAATGCCCTTGAGAACTATGCTTACAACATGCGTAACACTATCAAGGATGACAAGATAGCTTCTAAGTTGCCAGAAGCTGACAAAAAGAAGATTGAGGATGCTATTGAACAGTCCATCCAGTGGTTGGATGGAAATCAGCTTGCAGAGGCAGATGAGTTTGAAGACAAGATGAAGGAGCTTGAGGGTATTTGCAACCCAATCATTGCAAAAATGTACCAAGGCGGTGCTGGCCCTGATATGGGCGGTGCAAGCATGGATGAAGATGGTCCTGCTGCTGCTGGTGCAAGCGGTCCTGGTCCTAAGATTGAGGAGGTTGACTAAGTTGTTGCTGTTTTGATAAATACCTGAGCATTTGCCTTTATTCTGATATCGCTTTTATATTGCTTGTAGTGTTAGTACCTTAGTAGTATAAGATTTGGGGAAACTTGTTTTCGAATATAATCAATCTATGTATTAGTATTTAGTCATGATTTGAGTCTAGATTGTGGACTACTTTGGCAGTTGATTATTGTGTTCTGCCTGTTAGTTCTATCAACAATTATACTAGTATCTAAGACCCTTAATAAAATTTCATTTCTGCCCTTGGTATATGAAATTACATCTCTACCCCTGCTCCAATTAAATTTGTTGCATGTTTTTCTCTCTTCTTCCCCTTTCCTCTGTCAGGTTTTAATGAGCTTTCTTCTCCTTTTGATCATTTTCCCATCCTCTTTTCCCTAATTTACGAACGGCGGTGGCAATGGGGCTTGCTATGTGGAAGTGGAACTTGAGTTGCTGCGAGAGTATGCTGGGTTTTTATGATAGGGTGATTGGGTTGAATGCATGAATTTGGATTATGATGTTTGAAAATTGATTTTCTTTCATTATGAATTTTTCTGGTCTTGAGTTTAAGGCTATCCTCTTTGTTCCGAAGAGGGCTCCTTTTGATCTCTTGACACTCAGAAGATGCCTAACAACATTTAGCTCTATGCCTGGGTTATATACTCTTAATGAATTACTAACAGTCTAACGAGAATCATGTATTTAATTATACTATACTCTTACTGAATTATCAGATTACATTAACAAAACAATTATTGATGAGTAGTATTATCAAGTCATGGTTTATTTTTGATGAGTTTATTGTGTAATTGTTTGTCTGATTTTCGATTTTATTTTTAAATATATACAGTATTATTATGGTTTTAATAATGTTGTTTACATTGGATCTTAATGGTTTTTTTATTTTCTTATTAGGAAATTTTTAGTGCGTAATTTTAGAGTCTGTTGTTTTATATAATTTGTGGTGGTTTGTTGTAGTTTAAAATTTTAAACTTAGTTAAACAGTTTCTGATTTGATTCCATATTTTTACAATTTTGATTTCTTATTATTGCAGTGGGACTACAACAATCTGAGGTCTTTTTATTTAAGGAGTAAAAAATCACATCCCTTTTCTTTTCTTGTTTTATGGTACTTATAATTAATGTTGATGTTGCTCTACTGCCACAGTCACCTTGTCATCGGTGGTGGCGGGGATGGTGACCCATCTTCTCCGGTGTATAATTTCATCTTGTGAATTAAAATGACTGCAATTGATGATTTTACAGCAGAGCTTGTAGTATGTGTTAATGTAATTTGTTTTTGAAGGCTGGTTTTGATACTTTATACTATTCTTGATGCTGATTTGAATTTTTATGTGAAAATGTCTGCTTTGGAGATCTACAATGAGACCGTAGTTGATCTTTTGAATCATAGTTCTGGTATACTTAGACTTTTGGATGATCATGAGGTACTTGTGCCACATACTCCATATCTGATATGTTTTGGATTTCTTTCTTGCACGGTTGCATTTGTATAATATAGCAATTTCTCTGTTGCTTGAAGAAGTTGTAATAAATAGTCAGCATTTGAAGCGTATAATTGGCGTCTGTAAAGGTAGCTTTCTTGAAATTCCATCTCTGGATAATCCTCAAAGAATGTGTACTTGAACAATTATATACTAGGAATTTAATTGGAGAAATTAAGCACTATTTCGTTTAATTAATGATAATATGTGAGCCACCCTCTGATTTATTGTTTTTGTTGGATGCATCATGATGCAGTTTATGCTATTTTTCCTTGAAGTATTATAATAAATATAAAAATTTGGTTGTTAGCTTCCAAGGCTTAAACAGTTCTTAGAACTTAGAGCAGCTTCTTAGTATAATAAAGGATCTGCTGGGTAAAAGAGTAATATTCTGGGTTACTTGTTTTTGTTACTTGTCCTGCAGCAAAATCAATATCATTGATTACATTTCGTATCCACATTCCTTACCTATTTCTGTAATAGTATCTATTTATATATGTAATTTGGGTGTTTTATGTTAACAGGTAAACTACGACGCTTTTCGGTACATTCAGTACATACTGCAAACTAAACCTGTTCTCATCAAGGTTGGGCCAACACTAGCCCTCTCAAGAAACAATGTCCTTCAATGGCAACTGAAAGGTCTGGAATTGGAACGCGAATCTGAAACTGCAGCCACACCAACCAGCTTGAAGCAAGCAATGGTGGAAGAACTTAAGGAACTCGTACACAACTCTGAAGAAAAAAAATCCTCGGAAAACAAAGAACTTGCTGTGCTCTATGCTGAAGGACCTTCTGAGCCTGCTGATCTAACAGGTCCAGCTAGGAAAAAACTTCAGACAGCTCTTTTCTCTGAGCCAAAGCCTACAACAACCAAGCACTATCTTTGTCTGCAGCACCAAAGCGGGATGATCCTGTAAGTGAGGCACCTGCCACTACCTATAAGCACTTCTACAAAGGTGCAGTTATTGTAGCTCAGTCCCTAATGATGCATTTCAGTTATCCTAAATAAAACATCCTGCAACACTAGCACCAGTGATTCATTTGCAGTGGATCCTCCCAGCAATGGTTGAAGTCTACAACTACTTTTGTAAATTACAGTTAAATCAGTAGTGCAGTTGGCCAGTTTCTTTTGTAGTGGTTTTAAAAGGGCATACATTAGTATGCGTTGTTTAAAATTTCCCGGCTATCTGACTTAACCTAAATCAATTCAGTAACTCAGTTTAGCTCAGCTCCAATCAGTTCAGTTTAGTTTCTAATTTTGTTCTCTCATAAACAATTCATTTCAACTCTATTCAGTTCAATTCAGTTTAGCTCCAATCAGCTCAGTTCGGCAAATCAGAACATGTCCTAACTGTGCTTAGCAGTTTATCTAAGCTTTTATGTATAAATATTTATTATTAATATATGCCTATTACTGTTGCTTTAAGCTTAGTGCATGCTTTTGACTTGCAATGATTCTTTTCAATTACAGTTACTTTGGATGTTAAAAATACACTTGCAGCTCTGAAATTGCAAAACACAGATTGTTACAATTATCAAAGAACTCCTACATTTGCTTATTTTCAACATTTCTTTTAAATACAACTCCTATATCAGCATGAGTGCATGAATTTTTGAAATTGAGCATAGTCCAATTCTGAAACATTATAACCTAGCCACCTAGGTTACTAATTCACATTAAGCACCCCAAAGACTATAATTTAAAAATCTTTCATGTAGCCTCATTCATCATGTGTATACATTAATTACCGATGTAACGATCGTAAAACACAATTTTTATTTCCCGTCTAATTTCATAAATCCTTTACATTTTCATTATGCAATAAATCTCATAAAAAATTGTCGAATATTTTCAATTTTGCCTGGATTTTTTATAAAACGATTAATACTTCTAAACTGTAAGAAACTACAGTTTGAAGGTATTATGATGCAGCCAATTTGTCCTTTACAAACAGTCAAGGTGTGGTGACATTTGCTTTGTACAATTGTATAGATGTTTATCCTGCAATTGATCTCATATAAATTTGTCAGGAATAATTTTAATTTTGCCTAGAATTTTCCCATAAATTTACATCATATGAAAAGCTTAAAGCTAAACCATAAGAACTAAGAAGCAACTTTTGAAGCTGAGTATTATGCTGCCAATCTGACGTTTAGGAACATCAAGGTGTAGCAATATTCCTTTTGTACAATTATACAGATTTTCATCGTGCATATAATCTCAAATAGTGAATTAAAAAAAAAAAAAAATTCCCAATTAAATTTTTGAGGAATATTCTCAATTTTCCTGGTTTTATTATAAATTTACAGTATAGAAACATCTTAAAACTTCTTCAATATAAGAAACAACATTTGAAGGTGTGTACAATGCAGCCAATTAGACCTTTAGCAGCATCAAGAAGATGCAGCGAAAGCAAGTATATGAGTATATATCTGCTCCGTTTAACATTTTCTGAGTAGTTAAATAATACTACGAAGTACATTATAGTGATGACTAAATCTATACAATGAATCAGAATAAACAAAATGAAAAATTCGTGATAAATATTTAAAAATCCACAGCCAATACTAACAATCAGATAGAATGGCAGCTGCCAGAAGATCATTGGAAACTATGACTTGTCATTAATATTTGAATATAATCGTACAGATTAATGAATCATGACAAAGAAGCCACTGAGGTGAAAAAATTATCTACAGAATGTGAAAAAATTTAATATTTCTATACATGTTTGAATCAATGCATGTCATCTGCATAACATTAGGGGCATGAAGTCCGTCCGGCTTGACGCACAGATGGGTTATCAGCTTAACGCTGCTTGGTAGAATGGCGCCCAAAAGTAGCAAAGACAGCTGAAGATCCTGCTGGTCAACAGTATTTAATGAGTTAGCTGCACAATATATGGTAACATTGTGAGGCATATACAATGGATCTGCAGAAATTGCAAATTTAGCTGCAAGAGTATAAAAGAGTTGGGAGAGTTGCCAAAAAATAATCTGCAATACTGATCCATTATTCAGAAAGATAATACAACTATACAATTTCCAGGTTCTACAAGAAAACACTTCAACCAGAAGTTGCACTGTTTAGCTATGTCTCGTACACAGTTCCCACACTCATTTGTTTGTGTACTGCAAGAACCCTCCACAACATAACCAATCCAATGACTGCTAAATCATAAAATCCATCAAATAGAAGAAAAAATAAAACATGGACAATGCAGTAAGATCTTACCATTAATCTCTGAACTTGACTTTGAAGGACGGGAGCAAACCCAAAACTCAAAGTTATTCAAATGCAAAAGAACAAAATCAGACCTATGATTTTTGTCAGACGGCAAAAAATCATGAACTACATGTGGGACTTTCTAATTCCTATATATATGGAGCCTAGGAATACCAAGAGAATAATAACGTCAAGTATTTGTGCTGCCCTTACTTTAGTCCAAATAAGCCTCTGTCAAGACAACAAGAGATCATTCCCACCAAGATGGGAGCGAAGGCAAATTGGAACCTCATGTTCTTCACGACTTACACGAGGCTTAGGCACAGATATTTCGAGAACTGTTCCAGAATTATCAAAATAAGCTTCCAACTTTGCATCATCAGGAATTCTAGAAGGAAGAGGAATTTCCCTTTTGAAGTCACCAGGGGGGCAGTGCTCAGGAGAAGGATCTGTAAGCTTAAACGTTCTGTCATTCCTATGAATATAGGGCTTGCACGCTGTGCTCGTAGATGTGACCTTGACCACGCCATGAGATACTGCATTCCACCAAGAAACTTTGACCTTTTGAAGATCTGTGAACGGCAGACTAATGACAATCATGTACCCATCATCATCCTCGTAGATAGATTTTGCACAGGTAACTGGCCCATAGACATTTCTCATAACCCCAGTGAATTCAGGGGCCCACATGGGTTCAACTGGATGCACCTCTACTGCATCTTGCGTTCCATCAGAAGAATGTGTATTGGCTGGCAAACAAGAGTCTTCATCATTTCCGTGAGCAGGGACATCCTTCCTCTTCTTACTTGTTGCAGCAGAGAGATCAAATACATCATTTACATGGTTAGATGGCTGTGTGGACAGGTTCAAACCAGAGCCATTGAGCAATTTCTTTGAGTGACCATTGGCAGAGCTCTTCAAGGCTGGAAGTAACCTCTCTAGTTCAAATTCTGTGCTAGGGAGGTTCCTCCATGAAGCAAACTCACTAGCTTCTTCTGGAAGAGAAAAGCTGAGGTCCCTTCCTGTGAGTTCCATCCACCTCCTCTGCTCTTCCTCATCAACAGCACTAAGATTTGGTTGTCGAACAATTTCAATTCCGTGAAGGCATTGTGGGTTAGAGAGTCCTCGGTAATGTTTCCTTTGCATTTTGTGAGACCGAACAAAACCCTTTTCAACACTAAAAGGGAACGGCCTTTCCCCTTGCCGCGAATGCCCATTCATGTAGCTTCTCAATTGCATCTTCCCCAATGCATTCTCTGACCTCTCCTTAAAAACCCACATATACATATTTTCCATATCATGTTGTACCAAGAAAGACTCCAGTTGAAGATCAGACTTCTCAAACCCCGAAACCCCATTACCATCCCTCACAATCTTGCTCTTCGATTTCTCATTCAATGAAGGCTTAAAGTAGAAGCTAAAAAAGAACCAAGCTCCCCACACACTATCAAGCCTCTTAGCACACTTTCGATTTCCATTCCCATTCCCATTCCCATTCCCATTCCCGTTCCCATTCTTAGGAACTGCCACATGAGTCTCCGATTCATAAACCTGTGTCCCTAACCCAACCTCTAACATATCACAAGCCTCCTGATTCCAAGTCTGAGGAGGCGGAGGACTACGCTCCGCCGATAAGGGTAGATTAATATCAGGTGGACCAGGACGAGACAATATTACATGCCTACTAATCTCTCTCTCCTTTTCCTCATGAGATTTCGAACTCGAATCCATTGACAACAATGTTGATGGGTGATGATTCTCCATTGACAAGCTCGCTAACAAATCTTCCCCCATATCATCCACACCCCCAACAATCTATATTCAAGGGTCTTAAGAATTTTTTCAAACAAATCCCCAAGTCAATTCAAGCTAATCACTACATAAAATCACACATATTCACCTCCAATTCTTAATATTTAGCATACTACACTATCTATATCTATACATCAATCTCATATCTAATTGCACAAAAATTGAATTTAACAATCAAATAATCACTTTCAGCAGATAAACAAGAAATTCAATAAATTTCTCAACCTAAAATACCAACTAGAAGAATTGGTCAAAACCTAACCCTAGTAGAAATATGTAATTAGCTGATAATATTGACTCGACCCAAAATATATTTAAAAAAAAAAAAAAAAGTGACCGACCAAAAAAAAAGGAAATTTAAATCAAGGGTAATAGTAATATAAATCAGGAAAGAGAAAAATCAAGAAAGTACCTTATAAGATTACAAGAATAAAAAGTATGAATTTTCCTTTTTTTTTTTTTTGGGTCAGCAAAAATTGAGATCTTCAACAAGAAAATTCACAGCTCCAAAAATGAGGAGAGAGAAAGAGACGGAGGAAGGAGGGAGGGAGAAACCGGGAGAGGCAACAACAGGGGCGAGCTTTCCTCTCTTCTCGTAGTAAATAGACGATTTTGTCCTTTCTACTAGTACTCCGTATTAAATTAAGTGGCATTAATTTACACTGTTTAATTAGACGTTGATGGATTTTAACGGTGAAATTTTACCGTTTGGAGTTTGTTGATCTTGAAGGAATGACGGTGACAATATAAGATGACGGACGTTATTGTTAAGGGTAATGGGTGGATTTGGTTGGCTCTAGACTTACTCGATGGGCTAGGGCCACAAATTTTATTTTAGTTGGAAAGTGGTATGTGGGCCATAGTTTGAGATTATGTGGTTTAATATGAAAATATAGTCCAGCCCAAGCCCAACTTAGTTTTTTTTAAAGCCACACTTTTTGATGCATGGTTAGGGAGCAAGAGTGAAGACCAAAGAAATCATATCTTTACTTGTACTGTATTATTTTAATGTGTGATTATTATGTCTGTTTCAGCTCATGAAATATTATTTTAGTTTGTCACCAACCACTAGTTAAGCAAGATTCAAGAGAGAAAATCAGACGATAAAGTTTTGTAATATTTGATTCTAACAAATTTCAATTAAACTTAATTCACTCAATGGAGTTCCGCACATTTCAAGTGTTTAAATCGAATTCTAAGAAACTCTGTAAGTTTAGCATATATTATAGTTATACCTCGAGATAGAAGACTAGAGGAATTGACTAGTTCTCTAGCTTCCTGGCGTGAGGTCAAGAGACAAATTTTACGAAGCTCATTCTACGATAAATTTCCCTAAAAAGCCCCTCTCCGGGCCTTCTCCTCACCGTAAAAAATAATTACAAAAAATTTATAATTGTATTAATTTTTACAAAATGTAAATTTAATTTTGTACTCCGTATCACCTTTGAAAGAAATTAAAAGTCTATATGTACGCTCCTCAAGAATATGATCCTAAATTGTTAAAAAAAAACACATTTATTCATCTACATACTTAACAGTTAACACTCTTTCAAGAGTATCCCTCTGATACTTGAAAACCAAGATCAAATTCTATCTCTCAAGCCATATTTTATTCAAAATTAAAAATTGCCAAATTTCATATATTTGGTATATTGAAGTTTGAAAATCACAAATTAGACAAGAATGCCAACCGATTTTACAAGACCAAAAGTCATAAACTGAAAAGCTTTTTTTTTTTTTTTTTTTTTACTACATTAGAAATTTCCAAAATTTATATACATAGCAAAACTTGGAAAACAAACCTAAATAACAAATATGGGTGGCAATAATATTTTTTATGGATGAGAAAGACTTGATTAGGCCTCAACTCTTACCTTTTTTTATTATTATTTTTTTTAAATTATATATTAGCAGGCCAAATACTTTAGAGTAGATGGAAGAAAAAGAGAATATTTACATCCAAATACCCCTCATTTAGCATGATTATTCAAACCTCACACTTCTAGAAATTTGAGATAATAACCTTAATAATTGAACATCTAAATTTTGAGGATGGCAATAACAAATTAACAATGCCCATGCACTTTAATTTATATTCTATTTTTGTACACTTTACTTGATTTTTGTTTTTGTACATCATTCTTCAAAATAGGAAATTTCCTACAACACTATATTTACCTATAAAAAAAACCCTTGGGATTTGTAGTCAAATTATGTTAGCATCAGATTAGGTATGTAACAAACATTTGCTCGCTCCTCTTTCATTCTGACAATTATGGACAAGAGTACAAGACAAATGAGGTTCCTTATCATTTCTCAACAGGGAAAGTCACACAAAAAAATTCAGAGAAGCAAAAATTTAGGGGGGAAAGAAAGTAAAAAAGCAAGATATTAGTATACTTACACAATTTCCAATTAGGTAAAGCCTGAAAATAGTGGTTGCTTTTGCTTATACAATTAGGATTTTAATTTTGCTTGAATTGGTTGCATATATTTGTCACTTTTACATGTTTTCACTCATTTTTATCGTCCACAACAAAATCTTGCAGTTCTTTCTTCGTCTTTTTAATCTCACCTATTATTGGTTGGTTCCTTAAGAAGAGCCCCTAGTGAATTGGGAACATGCATAATATGATTTTAAGTGTTTCAATGTCTTTTGACCATTCATCTTCATTCTCTATTTCCTGATTATATATGCTTAAAAGTCCACTTGGTTACTACATGTCTATATATCTACGGATCTACCCCTTCCATGTCTTACAAACGAAGTACTTCAATTCCTATTCGTGTAATATAAGCATGAAGGTACATTTTGTATTGTATGTATAAATAAGTATAATTGACTCATTGCATGTTACTACAGATTTTATATTTGTCGTGACAAATTAATAATGGGTAATCTAATAACTGGTGTAGCAAACTAACAATTATGTCCACATTTAAATCACGAGTGCAATAAGCGTTAATGAATTGAATTGGGTAAGGCATGTTTTTCCCAAACTAAAGTGTATGCCATGCAAGGATACAGACTGCAGTATGTATCTCCCTTTCAGAAGGTATCTTTGCAATTCGTCAAAAGGAAAAGTTTTTTGTGCTCGGTAGATAGCAAAGCTAGCTAGGTGTAGGTAGCTTCATTTTCCAAAGGCTGAGCAGATTGGACAACCCCTAAAGTGCCTAATCTCATCCATATCCACTACGGGGTAAGCATATGTAGTGACTAATGAGTGTTGTGACAATAAATAATTAAAAATGGTGAGTCTCTTGTTTTGTCAAGCTGTCTTTTCTTTTGTTTTCTTTTCAATACTTTTGTTATTATGGAGATTATTTGGTTTAGGAAAATACATCAAGGAGCATTTAGCATGTGGGAATTACATAAGTTCTTTCTTCCAATATATTTTTCTTATAAAATCATTAGTAGTTGTTGATGATTCCCTAAAAAAAATGTGATACATATGATGAAATTATACAGAATAGGTCATTCACATCATACATTCATACATACTTAATTAAGCTTGCACATTGTTTTTGTTTTTGGTGTTGAGAAAATTAATTAATTTTTATATAATTAAATCGTAGTAGCACAATTTCCTTTGGTGTTAAGGTCTCAAAAGATTTTTTTTACGGTATTAGTTTTGCTTAAAGTGAATAGATGATAATAATTAACAATACATTGATATATATTACTCCCGTAGAAATTACACACACATATATATACAAATATACAATACAATAGTCGTGCTTAATATTGTTAGTATATAGAGGCTCACAAATTATTCAAGCAACTACAAATATATAACCCTTATATAAAAAGAATGAAAATTGTATACAAGTCTTGTGGTCTGATTTGTTACCTCTTTTATTTTGTGTTACATGATAATAACTATGTATCCACTACAAAATTAAGAATACCATAGAGTAATTGAATAAACCATCAACATAACAATTATACAAATCATCACTTAAATAACTAAGGCATATATACAATATGATGCAAAGATATAGAGTCCGTAATCATTTGCATACCACAAAGGTAAAGAATAACAATAATTATAAGCTTTGTTTAAAATCATTCATCAAGGAAATTGTTAACACTAACCAAACATTGATTGTCGACCATATATTCTAGCTACCCTTGCTTTAAAATTAAACCAATTCCCTTACACAAATATTACAAGCCTTCCTATGATGATGTATACCAATTCAATACCATTATACCAATAATCCATGTTACACCCCAATTAAAATCAATAAAATGACATTGTTATAATCAATTAGATTATCAAGCACTCTCACTAGAAGCATTACCACTAGAAAAGAAATCAATGAAATGAGGATGTTGTTGATGATCTCCAAAATCATTGATATTTGTATCAGATGATGAGCTTGTAGCACAAGAATTCCCAGCTGAATTATTATTATTATTATTATTATTATTATTATTATTATTATTATTATTATTATTATTATTATTTCCACTTAATTTGTGCTCCAATATTCCAGTAGGATGCACTGGGAAAAGATTCAGTGTTCTCATTCCCATGCAATTTCCTTGATAATCATATTGATTATGATGATGTTCAATTGATTTTGAGTTTGTATTATCATTCATCATCGCAGCACAATATCCGCTTAGTGTTGAACCTTGTGGGACCCCTACACCCTTGTTACTAACACGTGTCGTAGTGTGATTTGTTGCGTTGCTGATGCTAGGTTTTGATGATACCTTCTTCATGTCTTGGTGATCATTATCAGGTGTTGCAGGTGCACTGTAGTGATGTTGTGGAGGACTATAAAACCCAAGGTTGGCTTGTGGCATATGGTGGTAATATGGGCTGCACATAACTGTCAAGTACAAGTGCACAATGTCATCAATATTTCAATAATAGTCCGTACTTTGCTATAACATCTTACATGATAACGGGAAATTCCCTGTTTCTCATGGTGAGAAACGAAATTTGTTTCTTATGGGGGCATTTTCGTGAATAAATCAACAACTTTTTCATTATTGTGGACTCCACAGTTAAATATAGTTGTTGATTTATTTACGAAAATGCCATGTGAGAAACAAAATCATGAGAAATTGGACCCTCCGTGATATCACACGACTATATTTTACGAGCTGAGGTTGATTAACTTTGACATTTCAAACATGTGAAAAAACAAAACATACTAGATTATTATATGGTGTAATTATGTTCTTTAACAAAACCTTCTCCTTTCTTATAGTACTCATAAGTCATAACTAATTTCTCGCCTACATGATCCGTATGTAAGTCAAATTTTAAAGTTATTGAAAATTAAAATTCTTTTTTCTTGTACATTAAGTTTAAACTTTTACTCATCATTCAAATTATTAGAAATGTCTATAATTAACATTTATTTTGATAAACAATGATGTTTATCTATGCATTAATTAACTTGTTAGTTTTTTTAGTTTTTCACAATTTCTTTTTGGTTGTCACAAAATCATCTTCCCACTTTCAACTCTTTTTCTTTCACATTCTTTCTCGAAAAAGTACCAATCAAAAGCAAGTGAGAGAAAGAAAGAAACTCTACAATTTTGATTTTGATTTCCTTGCTTAGCTCAGTACTTGCGACAATTTCGATTAAAAAACTAGAGAAAATAAATAAACAGATACTCAGAATAATTTATAAGCTTTAGATATATGTACTCAAACATTAATCCAAACAATATAATTAAAATTCCTATGATATTTGCATATAACAATATTAGGATTAAAGTTATTGATTTATAAAAGATTTAAAGTACTTATAATTACAATTACTAGACTAATCAACGTAAATTTTGCATTTTGAATAAATTTTTGTAATAAACTAATTTTTCTTTTAAGTTAAACCTTCTTATATGTAAGTGATGATCAAACAAATTAAATCACAAAATAAATACCATAATTAACTAAACAATTTTTTTTAAAAAAAATATTAAGCAAAATAAAAAACCAATAGTATAAAAAAAATGCTTACCATTAGGATTAGGAAGAAAATGATGATGATGATAAGTAGGAGGATGAGAAGCAGGGAATATAGGCCTTGTATTAAGACTAACACCACTATTAACACCATGATTAGTGTGGTAATGAAGATGCGGTGCACCAATAAAACGAGGAGAAATCTGATTAACATTATGATTATGATTAGCAGCAGCAGCAGCAAGTAAACGATCATGTCTTTGTTTCTGACGTTGTCTAGCCTTATGATTTTGAAACCAATAGAAAACATTCTTGCCTTCAATATGACCGTACACTCTAAGCCGAGCTGTAATCTGCTGTATCTGCTCCGCACTTGGTGTTCGTACACCCTCATTAGTGTAAATCCTCTCTAACATTTCTATTTGCTCTTTTGTTGGATTCCATCTTGACCCTCCTACTCCTGATGATGTTGGTGATCTTTCCTCCACCTCTTGATCTTCCACGTCATCATCATAATCAAGATCATGATTATTTCTCTCTCTAGAATTTTCCTCCATTTTTTTTTTTTTTTAAGATTTAAGAAATGTTGGTTTTTGGTTGTTGAAATGTTTTGATATGCATGCATGTATATATGCTACTCTGAAAACATGGAGGTTAGCGGCTGATGGGAGAGGGAGGGGTGAAAAGACGAAAATGCCCTTGGATTTGCATGGGAGGGTGTATTGGGAATGACAGAAGGAAAGGGTATAATTGTCAAAGGAAGAAGTGTAGGTGTTATGTGATGTAGAGTAGGGGTCTAGGGCTTTGGGAATTTAAGCTTTGCAGATGAATTATCATCCGATCGATGACAGAGAAGTTTAAATAAATTTGAGGGCATTATTCAAGTGATTAATTAACCACAAAAATTAAAAAAAGTTTGTGGAAAATTGAAAAATCATTTACTAATGAACAAATGAATAAAGACATGTTGAGCTAAATTAAAAAAGTATGTGAAAGTAATTTGTTTTTTGTAAACCAAATCAGTGTTAGATTTTGTATGAGTGGTAAATTGAAGATTTTGGGATTTGTTTTCGGTTGAAATACTCGTATTGAGAAGTTTTATGATAATCAATATGAACTGTTAGCCTTTAGCATTTTGCTAGATTTTAATTTTAGGGAAGCTTTTGGGTGCACCAAGCCTAATACAATCACATTAACACAATGCTTTATTTTAGCCTAATTTTTATGTTACATTGATTAGGGTAATTTTAATGTAACTTGCTTCGGATAATTTGCTAGTATTTGCAAAGATGAAAATTCAAGATTTTGTAGTAAAATAAAGATTGTGGATTTAATTTTTTTTTTTAAATTTTTTTTTTAACCAAGATTGTGGAGTTTTGTTATTGTTCGACTTTATTTTTATTGATTTATAAAAAAAAAAATATACTCTGTAATAAAATACTCCGTATCTAGATTAGTCATTTGTAAGTAGTCATTGAAAAGCTTTTTTGGGAGAAAGAATTTCAAATTATATAACTGAAGAAAAATATTTATGAGTCTTTGTGTTTTGGGCCATAATAAAGTTATGCTAATTGAAATGACCAATCAAGTAATTAGGATAATAAAGGAGATTAATCTAAGTAAAATTGGAGCACTCCTAGTTATCATAAATCCACAAAAAAAGGGGGGACATTGAATTAGTTACTTATAAAACTCTTTAATTTCATAAATATGCATCATCTTTATGATAAGCGTGGTTGTTTGGCTCGTGTCTCAAAAGTTAAATTCCATCACAATTAATTTTCCAATACAGCAACTACAGCACAACAACAAAAATTGTTTGGCAACATCAAGAGAATTTCTATATTGTGGAGTATCAAGATCCTTTATTTTCACATTTTGCTTGTTTGATTCATCCACAAAGAGTTGTGGTAGATATGACTTATGAGGCAATATAATACGGAGTACTCCGTAATAATAATAGTATGATGAAAGGGAGGTACATCATACATGCATACACCTCACAAGTCACCTATTAATGCATGATAAGAAAATGCATATTATTTTAGAATTTAAGTTTTTTTTTTTTTAAACGAAATTATTGGTTTATTATTGCCTTATTGTATTTTATCTTGCTATGTATGTGTACAAATGGTATAATTATAGACATTAAAAATTATAATCCATATTTTGGGAGGGGCTATTGGTATGTTACCCATATTTCATTGATATTGGAGAACAGATTAAAATATGTCTAACCTTCCGCTATTCAGTAAAAGAAAAATATTAAATTCCGAATAAAATCTATTTAGGTCCAAAAAAAACTTTATTTGGGTTGATCCATTTAATATTTTAATGGTCCATATAGAAGCCCAATATTTACATCTCTCCTAAGGCCCAAAAATTGATGTCCAAAGAAACCTATCCATGCCTAAGTCCAGTCACCGATCCGTTCTAGTTGGCACGCCACGGTATCATCAAGTTCTACGCACTAAAGTATATGCACCACGTAAGCTTGCCACTTTATTTAACAAAATAAATTATGTTTTGAGCTACATAGAACCCGCAACCTCCAACATATACATTTTTTTTTTGGTGTTCTACCCGGTTCACCCTTTGGGCTAATCCAGATTCGAGGATCAGTTCTGGGTGGTTAGGTTCCAGTCCCCTCCCGATTGTTGTTGCGGGGAATCGAACACGAGTCCTCCCTACCAAGTGTAGTCCCAATCACCACTACACAAACAACCAATTGGTACCTCCAACATATATAAGTCACACATTTACCATCTCTACCAACTTTTATTAATGTTTTAAACTTCACATAACATGATATATTCCTTTCATTTATCAAGTAAATTAGATGTTATATAACTTATTTAGAAAATAAATATATATGATTATGAGGTAAAAAAAAAAAAAAAGAAAAGTAACACATGAGACAAGGTTTGGACCACACACTAGCTGTACAGACAATTAAACTTAATTATCAAATTAAAGAAGTACAAACTAAACTAGCAACCTAGAGCATTGCCAAGACCATACACTAATTAAAGTCATTAACAATTGAAACTTAAAATTATGCATTGACAAAAAGTCAAAAATAATAAAAATAAGAATGTAGCAACTAAAAAATACTGTATATATCTAGTATTCATAAATGGGCCAGATGTATAGAACTTTGGCAAAGCAGTCGATGCCCATTATTTTAGCGGGCCGATCATTGAGAGTACCCATTCTTCATTTTGATTTTGTTTTTCACTTTTACGTCGTTACGCCTTACTTCTCCGGCTCTCTCTTTCTCCTTGAAACGTACTCCGTACTTGATTTCTTCATCGAAGTGAAGTAAGATGTCCTCTTTAGAAATCATCGATTTTCAATTTCAGAATATATTGTTTAATTTCACGCTATCGGTGATTTTAATTGACTGTATAGTCAATTTAGGTTTTTTTAATGTGCGGTTTACGTTGATATTCTTAATGGAGAAGAATTTATGTGATTTTTCAAAGCCTAATTTGATAATCAAGTCAAATATTATTGCTAATGTGTTGCATTTTACGTATTACATTGAAGATAATTAACATTTGTAATTATTTGGAGATTTCTTTTTTAGTAGAATGATGATTTTTTTTCTACTTACTACAGTAGTATATATGATTTCTAAGAAGATTTCTTAGAAGTATTATGAATCCGACCCGTAGCACACCAATAACCCAAATTAATTCTTATAGTATGAAATAATGATCATGAAGTATGTCTCATTTTGTAGATGGACATGTATCATGTATGGTACTCCGTATATTGGTATGTGTAACATAATAATCTACCAAGTATATTTAATTTCTTACATTTCCGAGAGTGAGGGATAGTTTAAGTGTTCCAAGAGATCTTAGTATCGATTCTCATCTCTGCCCTTGTGGCTCTCTAATTTTTCTTGTGGATTTCAGTGGTGATGTTGAGTACAATTAAGTGCAACACTAGTGCAATTTCAAAGGGCATGGACTAGCCAATGTGGCATACACAGTGTTGGAAGTGAAGACTTATGTGAGGAATTAGGTGGTACCATTTATTCTTCATGTCGGAAATAGGCGTATTTGAAGCACACTCTTGGATGACCCTTGTGGCAATGTACCACTTTTTATCACCTCGTCATTGCTACATAGGTGATGGTTTTGACCTTCAAGGATGGAGAAGACCGCGAAAATTAGCAAATTCAAGGGTCTGTGGCATGGAATTACACCGCAGGTTACCGATAGCATGACAGGCAATTCTCTTTAGCTATTGCAGGCAATTCAAATGTGGTTTTGCTGCGCGCAGTGAAATGTTCCATCTTCGTGGGGCTTGTTTCGCTTCGAGTACACGGGAGGATTTCTGTCAGGTTGCCTAGGTGCACCAATTACAGGTACTTCAAAGTGTAGTGATGAAATCGCGTTGTCTAAAGCTGTGGTTCATGTGCCATCAGATGTCTTTCAGATAGTAGTAGCAGACCTCCATGCTCTGGTAAAAGGAAGATGTGCTGAGAAGATCAGAGGCAAGGTATGTGTTTGGGTCCAATTTAGTCAAAATTGGGCCTGAGCACTAAATGATCCAATTAAAAGCCCAAGGTCAAGGTTCAACTCTCCAATTGCTCAAAAGTCAAAAGTCAGCCCACAAAGTAAGCCAATTGGGCTAAAGCCCAACCTCTCCAAGTATGATGAGGTATAAAAGCCCTCATATTAACACATTCAAGGGGAGAGTCATATTCCAATTCGTATGCTCATTCTTGCATTCAGAAATATTCCACAAAAGCCTCAAGCTACAAACTCTCTTGCATAGTGTCTTCCTTTTACACATTATACTGACTTTAGCATCGGAGGGGCCTTCCTCGGAAACACCCCCGAGGCTAGTTTACGTGTGTTCACTGTGCAGGAAACCTTCGGCCCAACACAACTTGGATCGAATCCAGTCTTCTCCATTTCAACGGACCTTCGGCAAGGTCCCATTGTTTTCAACCGAAACAATTTGGCGCCGTCTGTGGGGAAGACTTTCAAAAATCTTTAAGCCGAATTCCTAACCAAGATCATCTTGCAATTATCTTAGCAGCCATGGCTAAGAACCGCAAGAGCAAAAGCCTCCGTCAAGGAGCGGGCGAAAAGCCTAAAACCCCTACACCATCGCCCACGCCGGACCGGAACTCTCCCAAGGGTGCCGGCTCGGGGGGAGGATCACACAAGGAGGATTCCCTATCTCCTATAATGCATGACTCTCAATATAGGCCGGACCACTCTCGGTCTAGCAGGGGTCAGTCTGATCATAGGACATATTCAGTGTCCCGAAGCCAACCATCGGCTGCACGGCCTCATGCCCACACTCGGCCGGGGACCCCTTTGACGGGGCCCAGTTCGGAAGAGGTGGCAAGAGCGCTGGCAGTACTCATGGAGGCAATGAGGGCACAGAATATGCCACCGCCTCGTGATCGAACTCCTCCGCATACCCGGCATCAGCGGAGGAAGTTAGACCATGACGGTGGGAAGCTTCCTTCCTTCCGGGAACTGGAAGAGTGGGAGGAGGATTCTTGGAAAAATGAAAAACAGAGGAAGAAGAACTCTCAATTATTTAAAGGATCCTCATCCTCAAGACCAGCAGCGCATAAGAGCGGCAGCTCAGCTTCTCGGCCAGAATCTACTCGCCGGGAACCCGAGACTGCTCGCAGAAGCGTCCTTGACCGACTCGGCGGCCAGGAACCGAGCGTGCGTAGTCGCCTCTCGTTCCCTGCAGCCGAGGCCCAGACTTCCCAGCCAGGGACGAAAACCACTCCTACCTCTCTAAGAGGGCGGAGCGCGGTCCCTTCGGCCAGGAACAAGGGCAAGGCCATTATGCTTCCCGCTAGTTCACCATTCGAGCAATGGATACTGGAAGAGCGCGTACCCACGGTTAAAATACCGTCGCATATCACATATGACGGGACCACGGATCCGAAGGACCACGTGGCCT